ATGGTAAGAGCTATGTGAACGACACTTTGTAGACAATAACCAACATGTTTGTAAACAACAGCAAAGAGCCTTTTCTTTAACACGTAACTAGCCACGGACACATAAATGTGTCCATTTTCTACATAAGCAGCAAGATTTTATAATATGGAGGTTTTAATAGTAGGCGTTAACATGTTTTCTGCTTGTATATTATTAGTGGCGTGCAAAACGTAAAAATTTACTTCTTAACTTCTCAAACTTTGTAATGGTAGCACGTATAGAGATGAAACTTGGTACGCATGCATATCACATCATTTCCATGACAACTACATGTTTCCATGACGACTTTGAACAACAACAAATAGCCTCAAGAAACTTCTGCTCAAACTTGCTAACGGTAGCACACATTGAGATGAAACTTAGTACGCATGCATAATTATTATTAGAGCGTCGGTAGACACTATATAGGGATGGCGCGGGTAAAATCTCACATGATCCGCGTACAAAACGACTAAAAACTCGGTGAGAATGACTCCGTAGGCCTTCAAAACACACTAGCAATAGTCTACAGGCCCATATCTACCTATATATGTTCCTAAAGACCTCAGTCGCTCATACACGATTTCACGATTTCCGTGACGGTTATCTTCTTTAGGGACCTGCTATCTCTTTACCAGTATATACCAGCAAAGCATGCCCATGAAACCACGACCTTGTGCAATAACCTAATTACATCCTTGTTGACATGAGGTGAATCTAGCCCCTGCTTCAGGCACTATAGCAGCCCATACATTGGTGACCACATGCACAACGTGAGCTACAACCTTGTCCGATCCGTCGCCGACGGTGCCCGTGCAGCTGAAGCCATTTCAGCCATCAACCTCAGTTGCCGCCATACTGGCGTTCGGACCCCCATCTATGGTTCGCGCAGGTGGAAGCTCAGTTCTATACACGAGGAATCACGGCCCAGAAGATATAATGTGAGTATGTCGTCGCGTCTCTCTCACCTGGTTGGCCACGCAAGTTCGTGATCTCATTCTCATCGTTCCCGCCTCGCCGTACTGAAGCGTCAAGTAATCGCCCGCACCGCCCTCCCGCAGACTGCAGACTGCAGCAACTGCCACAGAGTTAGGCGACCAGAGACCTTCCCACGGTTACTTCGCCGCATGCAGCAGTTGTTAAGAGAAGATGCATCTGGTACAGATGGCACACTCCTGCGCAAAATGTTCCTCCAGCAACTCCCGGTAATGTGTGTGTGGTTGCGTCATCAGGAGACGGAAATACTCTTGAGGAACTTCGCCCAACTGGCTGATGGCATCATCACCCTCTGTTGCTGGCGTCACCAACCCCCAACCTTCAGGGGAGGAAGATGAACTCCGCACCGAGATTGCCAAGCTCAGAGAAACAATCGCCTAGGTGGGTATTTGTAGTGGCTACATTGCAAACTCCATTCTGGGAGCTGATTTCTTGCAACACTACGGCTTGGTGGTCGACATGAGGCGCCGCTGTCTCACCTATACTACCACCAGTTTGAAGGTGAATGGAGTTGTCGCTGCAACGTCTCCTAGCCCATCGCTGCTGCCATGCAACCCAGCTACGCCATTCAAGGTCATCGTCTCCGAGTTTCCTTCAGTCACCCTGCCACAGCTCCTGTCAAACATTGTGTCACCACCACATTACCACCAATGGCCCCCCAGTCTCCGGCCGAACGTGTCGCCCCTCACCAAAAAGACTCCACATCGCACAAGAGGAGTTCACTCACCTGCTGGAGTTGGGTATCATTCGGCCATCCGTCAGTTGTTGGTCATCACCACTGCACATGGTGCCCAAGATATTCCATGTGACTGGCGTCCCTGTGGGGACTATCGGGCCCTTAATCATTGCACTGTTCCTGACAGGTACATTCTATAGCCCACATTCAAGATCTCAAATCTCTCTGCAAGGTACCCGAATCTTGTCCAAGATTGACCTGGTATATACAGGCTTATCACCATGCCCTTGCCACCAGTACACTGCTGTCACATCCAAAGCCATTCGGACCAACATGCATCATGTCCAACGCATCAGAGAAGGCAGTTGGAACAGTTTTACAACAGCAGATTGACGGCAAATGGCATCCACTGTCGTACTTCTCATAAGAGCTGCGTCCTGCCGAGACTCGCTACAGCACGTTTGATCAGTGTACTTGGCAATCAAACATTTGGACTTTTAATGTCTAGCGATCTGAAGTGGAGCAACCAGCAGATTTTTTTTTTCATCTCGAGCTTACAAGATTTTAGGCCTTATCCGGTGCTCTTTCTCCTCAGGATTGCATGTATCTGCTAAAAAGAACCTGTACCCCACACTAATTCGTTCACAGCTCACCTATGACTCACAGATCTGGAGGCCCCATCTCATCAAAGACATCTTGGCACTAGAACGTATCCAGCGACGTGCAACTAAATACATTCGGAATGACTTTCACTCTGTCTATAAACATCCCTCAATCTACTACCCCTGATGATGCAACTTGAACTCTATGATGTCTTGTTCTTTATTCGCTGCCTCAAGAATCCCAATACTTCAAATGCCTTTTCAATCCTCTCCTACGTCCAGTTCTCACTGTCCTCCATCCATCAAAAACTAACTCACTCACTATCAAAGTCTAATGCATTATTTCAACCGACTTCCACGACTCTGGAACTCTCTTCCACCAATCAATCTCGACCTTTCCATTAATACCATCAAAAGTACCTTCACCAAGTTTTCTGGACCAAGTTTAACTCTTGTTTTCTCTGTTCTGACCCCTGTTCTTTCCATTATGTATGTCCATGTGCTAAGTGTTTGTGTTTGTCCATAGTTACTAGTTATTCTACCTCAGCATCTATCTGGTGTACCTTCAGTACATGTCATCTCTAATGCCTCCATCCTCTCCACTTTCACTTCTTTTTTGCTACCATTATCATGTACTGTAAAGCATAAAAAATTTCCAGCACCTGGTGGAAGGCCGGAAATTCCACGTGATCACCGATCATAAACCCTTGACATTCGCACTTGCTATATACCGCATCGGACAAGTTCAGTCCACGCCAGATGACTACAGCTCGCAGTTTGCAACCGGCATTCGGCACATAGCGGGGCTCAACAACCCGGTGGCTGACACACTTTCGCACAACGCTGTTCATAGTGCACAGTCGCCACCAGTGTATCTCCAAATGTTGCCACAGGCCCAACCGAAGACACAAAACTCCGGGCATTTCTGACTGTCTGATGGCCCTCCAGCTTCCGGCCTCGTCCTCTACTATTACATGTGACATGAGTACCAGATCGCCTCGTCCATTCGTTCCTGCACCACTTCGTTGTACAGTGTTCACAGTCTTACACTCTTTCTCAAACCCAGGTGTTCAGGCGACACAACAGCTCATTGCGGAGCGGTTTGTTTGGCCTGGAATGAAGGAGGACATCAAGGTCTGGGCACGTAAGCCAGAGGCCCCAATGGCTGATATTACTGCTGAAACAGTGGCCTGAACATTGACCTGGATGGATCGCACGATTTGGGGTACCGTCCACCATCACTACAGATTGAGGACGACAGTTTGAATCCCTTTGGGCCCAACTTCTCCAGTTGCTGGGCTGTAAACATCTCTGCACTACTGCCTATCACCCAATTGGCAACGAGCGTTTTCACAGAGAGCTCAAGGCAGCCCTCCGAGTACACACGCTTTCACTGCACTGGACAGAACTGCTTTCATTGGTCCTACTTGGCATTCGCACTGCCCTCAAGACTGATCTGCAGTGCAGTGTGGCAGAACTTGTGTACGGCACAACCTTGCGACTACCTGGAGAGTTCTTTCAGCACGACTCCACCGATGCTATTGAGGAACCACACACACTACTCACCAGACTCAAGACGGCAATGTGAGAGCTCAGAGCGGTTCCAGTGCGTGAACAGTCTCAGCGCAACACTTACATCAGCAAGGATCTAGCCACCTGCACCCATGTGTTTGTATGTAATGACGCTGTTCGTTATCCTCTGCAACAGCTGTACGACGGCCCATTCAGAGTATATACTTGGCCAAACAGATAAAGCTCAATGGCCAGAGTGACAAAGTTTTTCTCGATCGCCTTAAGCCAGCATACCTAGAACCAAGCCCAGAGACACAACCTCCACCTCCACCTATACCCTCCCCTCCTGCTGTTACACCTCCTGCTACTTCATGAGTCTCTGCCAGGACTACCCACTCGGGACGACACATTCGCTTCCCAGACAGATTGATGGGACTGGTTGACTCATCTGTCACTTCACTGGAGGGGGAGTGATGTAGTGTGCACATCCTAGTGCACATGTCTCAACAACTTGGTAGCGAAGTAGAAAGGCAAGGCAAGGCAAACAAGTCAACTACACCCAGGACAGCTCTTTCTAGAAAAGAAGAAGAGTTGGGCGAGCACTCTACCAACTGAGCTACCAGGGCAACTCAGCTGGTAGGGGTTTGAATCTACAACACAACACAACGACTCTGAACTAGTAGCTCTGGCTGCTGTATATATGTAATTTTATGGTCGTATACTGTTCTAAGTTTGTACACTACTACAAAGTGATCAATTTCCATTATGAGAATTATATGAAAGAAGTTAGGTGGAGCATATTATATCCGATTTTACCCGTATCATTTTAGTGGACTTATAAGGGCCCAACATCAGCTAACTAGACTTCTTGTATTTAGGTACTACTTACCTGCAAATCACATGCGATTTGTGTTAGTTATTTACCTTACAATATAAAAGCAAGCTAGTGACTTCCGACAGCAGTATTATACCACAAACGTAACATGGCCACACGTAGATAGAGCAGTACAGCACTCATTTCTCCCTCAAAACCTCTGAAATTGCAACATCTACTACAACCACAACTGTAGAATTATTACTAGCTTGATACACTTGGCCATGTGTGTGCTCCAGCAGAAGTGAGTGAAAATCTGGATCGGGAACGAGCATGCGCAGTTTGCGTCGCGTGACAATTAATTAGCCGCCGCCCACGTTTTGATACGCGGAGCCCTGCGTGGAGCCAGCCTCTCTCTCGGCAACTAGTGGACTAGCGACACCATCTTCAATGAGGTGCATTCGGTTGTGAGCAGTATATTGGTAATACTCTAGGGAATGTCTGGCTCGCGGAGAGGATCGGCTCTATTGAGGGAGCTCAGCAGGGCTGAGGCTAAGATAGAGACCCTGGAGGAGTTCATAAGTGAGCGAGAAAGGCAGCTGCATGTTGCAGTGAGCAGATTGAGAAGCAGGGGGGATTCAAGGAGGACATCTAGGAATAACATTCGTAGAAGGAGGGCCGGGATCACATCTGATGCCTTGCTCCGCATGCACTCTTTGAGTAGTGACTCCTTCGAATATGCAGATAATGGTGAGCTAATTCATTTCCATTGGCGATTTATTTGTCGGTCCAAATGTGTGTGTAGATGTGTATATGCAACCTCTTGATGACTATGTCTGTCTGCGACTGCTTCGCGTGGAGAAGTCTCTTACTTCGTCGGAGGGCCATGTGCCCTTTGTTCTCAGCAGGCTGATTGGGCGACACTACCATGTTGGGCCGGAGGGGGCAGATATTGGAACAAGTACAGACTGCACTGTTTGTACTCCCCCTGAGAGTGAAGCATTTCCAAAACATGCTCAGATCAGTTGGATAACTGGTGAGAGACCTCTAGCTGGCAACAGCCACAGTTCACAGGGTGTTCCAAATGCATACTAGTGACCACTGATTATGCCTGAGGTGGTTTATTATCCACACAGCTGCTATTACAAAGTTGTCACTTACGTTTTTCTAGTAGTACTGTTTACCTAGCTTGTGTTTCCTTGTGCAGGAACAAAATCTACCGATGGACTCTTTGAGCTCTGTGACCTTACTAAAGGACAGGGTTTATTCCGGGTTTTGCCTACCACCCCAACAGTTCATGAGTCTGCCGGTACAAACCTGACGACAACGACAGGACAAGGCAGTGACGACATATCTGGAGTGAGGCTGTCTCGTGGTGTCCAATTCCAGACTGGGAGGCTGGTGTGGAGTCTGACTGCCCTCCCTGGAGACCAGGTCCTCACCATCAAGATGTTCTCTGCTGCTCGTGAGGGACATCTGCAAGACCTTTGTCACATCATAGACAACGCCCAGTGCTCTGATGGTCCTATTCCTCTTGTGTTTGTGACCCCACCACCAGCTGCTTCTGAGCATCGTATCTCTCAGTATAAATTCTCGACTCTGTCCATTGTCACAGAAAAAGGTATTTTGAACAGATGACTACCAACTTTATGTGCAACTGACATGTATTTATTGTACTTTGCATGGGCGGATCAAAGGCACTGCCCGTGCTTTATTCGTTATAAAGAACACTTTGCTCGTCATAAAGGACACTTTTGCTCATGTAGCACAGTTTTCAAAACGCGGTAGTACAAGTGGTTGCCAAATGGGGCTTTTCAGGCACAGCGAAGGGAGAGACGGGTACCAGAAGCGTATCTAAGGGCTAGAAGGTAAGCTAGCATGGCTCTGCCAGGCTAGTGGCGGCCCACGTCGGTGCGTAGCCGTGCGATAGCTTTCCCGCCCAGGGCAATGGGAGGAATGGCAATCAGCCTATTAAAGCAGCTTTCTTACCCCTAGGAGTCATAGCAGTCGTATCTTGGCCTTTGCGGAGTGTTCTTGCCGCGTCAGAGCAGTGCTGAGTCACGGGGAGAGACGACCATATCCGCCTCGAACCGGCTTCATTCCTGGTCGTTGCCTTTGAATCGCCCACGGTACAATAAATCAATAAAAGTATGAAAGGGATGTGCTGTACGCTCATAAAGGTACTCGAGGCCCTCTCGTACCTTTTTTTCGCGTACAGCACTACCTTCAGTGCTTTAACTATTACATATTCCGGGTTGCAATTGGTATAGCTAATCTTGCTGCTTCACACCTTTCCGTGTGTAGCCCTCTTTGTTGGCATGAGCGGGATACATGCATTCTGAGCCTGTAAAGTGCTTCCTCTTGCTTATGTTTCAGTGAGTTAAAGACTATAGTACACGTTCCTTATAAAGCTTCTTCCTATTAAAAGGTTGTCTCACACTCAGATGATATTTGCACATCCTTTGTGTAGGAGGCATCACAACTCACGAGTATCGACTCACGCATCCTATCCAGTAGTTAGCTATATAGGCCATGTCAGATTCTCCGCGAGCTAGACAACGAGAAAAGGTTTACTATTTTTCACCCTCAAGTAACTTTGAACCTGTTCGTATCGCTTATAGGCCGCCTCGTAGCCTGTAGTGCCAGAATAGAGGGTGAGAGACAGACAGAAAGCAGACAAAGTACTGCAATCCTAGCTGTGCATGTGTGTGGGGGTTAACTATGCCCTGCTCGCTCATTTTTTTACAGAGTGTGCAATCACAATTATTAACATGCCACCTGAGTAGGCTGCTCAGTTCATGGCGACGCTGCTTTGGTGGTAGAACACTAGTGTTGCTTCTGACACAAAGGATAGCTGATTGATTTTTTACTAAAAACATTTGTATGTGTACCAAATCGTCTGTTGCAGGAATTGATGTCAATTCTGAATACAGCCCTCCAAATTCGGATGACTCTAGTTCCTATCATCGACTCTCCTCCGTCCTCTTTCCATCCGCTGTGTCCACTGGGCCCCTCCCCCACCCCTCCCCCTACCTACTGCTCCACATTGCAGTTGTGAACAAGGATTTGGACATGGTACTCTACCTGCTTGACAAAGGAGCAAAAGTGAGACCTTTTCCCTATGTTCTGGAGATGTCATTCATTCTCTTATGTAGGTAAACCTGCAATCTGGTCCACTCTTAGTGACATCCCTCCACCTGGCGAGCCAACTTGGTCAAACTGACATTCTCTATCACCTCCTGGCTAGAGGAGGAGATGTGGAGTTGAGAGATGTCAATAGACTTACTGCACTAGATCTTACCTCTTCTTATGAAGTCAGGTTAATATACATGTACACATATTGTCTGAGTACCATACCACCTTCTGCTAATGTTGATCGAAGTGTGTGTTCCATATGTGGACTCTGAATTCGCTGTACTTTTTAAAATAAGGTTAGACAATGGGTAGAAGGTATTCACTGAGGAATCCAAGCTGTAACCTTATTAACCCTCGGTGCACATGCGCAGCGAGGGTTACGGTACTTGGTTTGTGAGAGTGTCTGTCCGTTCCCACGTTTTCTGCGACTATGCGCAACGAAACAACTAAACAGCGATACCAACGGGCTCATCGCTACACTGGCCTCATTTTAAAAAAGGCGATTTTCGTATAACTACTGCGTTCAAAAGTTATGGCGTGAAAAGCAAGTCAACAAGCCAATTGCAAATTAGCACAGGCTTACCTCGACCGCGTCTGCTTGCTATCTACTACTGTAGCTAGCCCGTGCCAGACTCTCCGCGAGCTACAAGCTGCAGATACCACGAGTAAAGGCATAAAAAGCCTAGCCCATCAATTAGTGGTACCGCGCATGCGCAGTTCGCCAAGGGTTTGCACTTTAGTGATTTTCATTAACCCTCGCTGCGCATGCGCAGTAGTTGGTCTGTGTGTGTGTGTGTCTGTCCGCGACTATTCTTGCACTACAGGCTACGAGGTGGCTTATGAGTGATACCAACAGCTTTAGCAGTACATGGGCTATAAAAAAAAATGGCGATTTTGCTGAAACGACTGCGTTCGAGAGCGACAAACTGGCACGGTCACGAACAGCGTTGCGTGGCCCAACCCATCAATAAGCGGTGCGCATGCGTGTATTAGACGCGATTATGCTGGCTCACCTCGACCTGATCCGCTTGCTCTGTGTACATTGGAGGCACAAGAAGCCACAGCGAAGGGTGTGTATCGACTCCCACATGCTATATACTACTGTAGCTTGCCCGTGTCAGACTCTCTGCGAGCTACTAGCGGGAGACTGCGAGTAAACGCCAGCCCAGCCCACCGCGCATGCGCAGTTCACCAAGGGATTGCACTTTAATGCTTTTCATTATACCATGGTTGCTGGTGCCTTTTCAAATCTGGTGCCTTGGCAGAAACATGGGCATGAACAAACACATGCAAGATATGTGTTGATGGTGCCGGCTGACCATCGTCTCTGGCCTGCAGTTCTCACTCGCTAATGACAGCAATGCAGCAGTAATACCGTGTAGTACAGCAGGCCCTTGCGAGCCGTATTGCAGTAGAAAATGCCCTTTCCATGCTACACCGCTCAGCACAAATAGTCAGCACCTTATATACCGGCATAGTTAGTGCATACTCTTTTGCTGTAACACATGACACCCTTAGTTGAAGGAAAAAGAAGTGAGGTAAAATATAATTGGTAGTGAAGTTTGGTATGGTATGGGGGATTAACAGTGATGTGTTACTATAATGGCACGACGGCACCAACAGTAGAGAGTCGTATGGGCAGGTGGAAAATATTGAGCACAGGTATTGAACATGCTCGCAATGACTGACAGGCTTTCCTAGGAACTACAAAACATCCTGGAGCTACCCTCCTGATCTTTGGTTAATCATGGACGTCGGAGCACTCAAGCATTCGCTGAATCAACTGGTGTTAGTGGAGTCTTCTTTGGCCCATGGCAGCTTTGTGGCCTGTAGTGTCACAATAGGGACTGAGATGAATGCACTTCTAGAGAAAGGTAGAGTTCATGGGTCCAGGTTTATACCATCAGGGTCCAGTAGCTATAACAGAAAGACAGATGACAAACCAAGGTAACGCATGCACACCAAGGGTTTGTCATAAAAAATTGGACCCCCCCCTCAGAACATATATTGCAGAAATATTTTGGACCCCCCTGAAATAGTCGGACCACCCCGATCCTTACGCGAAACTGTGGTGCATGGGCGCACAACGTTCAGTCAGCTTGAGATATGTGACCACTGGCTAAAGAGTGGAGGACATGCAAGACGCACCGTAGACATACAGCTACCTGCAACGCGCATAGCTCCAATGAAAATCGTGACAGGTGCCCCATGGTATCGTGCTTAGCGTAATTCGTGCATCAATCAATTCAGACGGCCGAGGGGGCCTGAGCTGTAGCTCTCTTGCCACTTACTAATTTCTCCGAGGCCGTCTAAATCGTGTATTTTCGTTGACGGGCAGTATAACCGACTTACACAGTGGCCGTGCTGGCTGTCACGTCATCCGTGTCTGTCGTCTTTCGTGAGAATCGCTCTCGCTGGTGGAAGCTGAAAAGGTCACCATTTTAGTTTAATTTTGTATCGTAGAGAGGCCTTTCACGAAAAAGCATCAGATACAGCGGGTTTGAAGTCATCACAGCGAGTTCTCTCCAACAGAGCGAGTTTCTCTGCACCAAAACCTCCCGACAAAGAAGCGCGAGTGAGAGCGCGAATCTTTCTGGTACGACTCATTTTTCAGACAGAGAAATGTGTAGCTCATCCTGGTACAAGCTTCTTTCCGACAGAGAAGCATCAACAAGAGTGTCATTCTTCCCGGTTCAGCCGTAAGCGAGGGTGATGGCAGGTGTGCTCAGGGGGTAACCCGTATTTCATGGGGGATATTATACTTCATGCGTAGCCTTGAAATATTCGTTCCGGTGGAACAACTGTATTTTGGGCGTCCAAATATTCAGTGACAGGTTAAACTGTTAGTGTTATCTCAAGTCTTTAGGTATTGTGTCCCTGCTACAGGAAGATGCTACTGAACTCCGTGTTACTGTGTGCAGCCAGTGAAGCTGGAGATGTGGAGGAGGTATCCAGACTGCTGAACCAGTGTGGAGTCCCTGTCAGTGTCTGTGGTCTCAGGCACAAGGCACCTCTTCATCTGGCCTCTGCAAGTGGCCATGCTGCAGTAGTGGACCTACTGTTGGCCAGTGGCGTAAGACTATTTTACAAATGCTGTGCCATTCATACTCTGTCAAGCATACATAACTGTAGGACAAGCTGTCCGTGTTATGCGCTTATATACATTACTTGTGTAACCGGTGAGATTGGAGAAGGGGATTAATGCTATAATGAAAAGCACTGAAGTGCAAACCTGCGCAAGCTAGGTATATACCGCCAGTTTATGGGCTGGGCTATGAGTGTATGCATTTAGTTGTTGTCTCAACGCTAGTAGCTTGCAGAGTGTCTGACAATGGCTAGTACTGATAGCATGCGGGAGTCGACACACGCCCTTTGTTGTGTCTTCCTGTGCCTCAAAGGTACACGGAGCGAGCTGAACAGGTCAAGGTAAGCAATTATACAATCAGCTTTTTCACTTGTTTTCACGGTATATCTCTCAAACACAGTCGTTTCAAGAAAATATTTTTCCGGCTCACGTACATTCTGAAGCCGTTTGTATCGCTCATGGGCCGCCTCGTAGCCTGTAGTCCAACAGTTGCTGCAGACACACACACAGACCAATTGTTGTAACCCTCGCTACTCATGCGTGCCGAGGGTTTGTGAGTAATGACATACCTCAACTAGTGTTTGCCCGTTCAACACGCACAGGAGGCATGAAACTACTTGGACGAGAAGAATTAAGTCCAGGGTTGCTCCAAATGCTACTCACTGATGCTGTTGTCCAGTCATTGTTGACCACATGGCATGTACCGGCCCATATATTAGTGCCTCTTTAGGCACGTGTAGTGCACATTGCCTTCTACTTTCTTCTGTGACCATCTCTGTTGTTTCTATCTAGGCCAATGTGAATAGTCGTGGGGGTGGTCATAGACGAACCCCACTCCATTATGCCAGTCTTTACAACCACGTGGGTATAGCTACCACTCTTCTAGCTGCTGGAGCCAGTGAGGTTGCCAGGGACTCTGGGGGACTGACCCCTCTCAACCTCTCCATGGGAGGAGATATGTGCAAACTTCTCCACAAGGTATGCCATGCTATACCAAACACTGTTTGCCACATACTGACTTAGTAGCACAGAATCGGGCATGATGTATAACATGTTCTTTACACATACAAAATCTAGTGATTTTGGTCCTTCATGCATTTGGTGGGTGGGTATTTAGTTTACTGCTCTGAAGGTTGTGATTTGGGATTAATCACACAAGTATAGGCATGTTGTAGGGACTATGATTGCATGAGGCGCATCTCAGGGGTTCGTCAAGGTCACAATATTTAGTAGCCATTGCAAGAGCCTTGAATATATGATAGCCAAAATTATTTAGTAATAGCCATGGTTTTTTTTGCAATCTGCAGAAGTGTACGTATCATGCTCGCCATTGCGCGTGTCGCGCGTCTATGTACGTACGCATTTTGCGTTATGGACATACCCCTTTCAGGACCGTCAAGTCTGCGGAGCATGGGAAGGAGCCTGGCTACGAGGCTGGCTTCTGAGTTTTATTGTTAGTACGAGCAACTAACGTAGCTCTCTCTAGCTCGCCGTGTGTGCAGATTGGCCATATTGGTGATTCCCAGCCAAGAATCGTTGCCAAACTCTAGGTTTTTGTCGCATTTGGCAAAAACGGCGACCGGTAGCGGAACCCCTGCATCTGAATGCAGTTTTAGTCCCTACAATATGTTTATGAGTGTGATTCATCCCAGTAGCACTCTAGAAACAAATGATAATTTGGTAATCATGACATAAAGTCCTGAGGAATTTTAAAGAAGGAGGAAAAAAGGAAGGGAGACAAAATAGGGATGGGATATACTATGAAGCACAATTTATGAACAGATTGCCAGCACTGTTGCCTGGTGTGTCACTCTTAAACTAGACGGTGGTGGTCACTCAGTAGAATGGCACTTTTTCACTCTGTTAGTAACATTGTTGTGGCTGGTGAAACATGCCCTCTCTTGGATGATGGTGGGTAAGTTGTCTTGCATCTCTCAGTCCTAAGTGATGCAGCTCTCAGTTACTGAGGTTGCACAGTTGCTAGTGGACGTTTCAACAGCTCTTTCTTTTGGGTCAACCCACTTCGAAGTTGAGGATCTTTTTTTGAGTACCCTCAAATTCAGGGCTCTTCTTATTCAGGCTGTGTCCCTAGGTTACCCTGTTGTCCAGTGTGTGACAGTCCTTAGAAGCTGCTATATAGTTGCAGAGGCGCAAACTAACATTTTCCCAACTGGCCAATAGGGCTAGTACGCTCTCAATTCTACTAGCCCAACAGCTCTCACACTAGCCCAAGAAATATTTGCACAGAATCAAGCTTAGTTGGAGGTTCCTTTACTCCTGGCAAATACCTCCACATGGTTGTCAAAACAGTACAAAGCACACCGCATGCACTTGTGTAAACTACATAGTACGCATGCTAGAAGATCAGACCCTGCCCCCATGCATCGCGTAGTCGATCACCAGTCCGCCGCGGCAAAGACACTGGCACTGGCTCACATCTACTACCGAACTAAACCACGCTATTACAACTTAACTTCGCTTTTATAACTCCACTAAGTCTGTCTAGTGTCTCTCTCGCCAGCCGGGCGACCGCTTTAGGCATTAGCGCCCGTCTGCGCCGTAATTTACCCGCTGCGGGCTGGCGGGTGAGTGCTAGTTTGAAGCCCTGTAGTTGAGTAAAGCTTGTGAGTGGGAAAGTATGACTCAGTGAAGGTGCCGCGGAGAGTGACCGCTAATTTCAGTGGTTCAATGCCAGTCGCTGTTCTGGTGTACTAGACACCACCACATGGGTAAAGGCGAAATACGTGTGCATGTCATTATGGACATAATTTACTTTTGCTGACTTGGTACTCAACACTAAAAGAAGTAATGAGTGTACAGTTAATGTGTTATTCATTCTTGTGCAGTTGAAGTGTATGCATTCTGCCATAATAATATGTTTCTGTTTTGTGCGCAGCAACCCCTCTCCTTATGCCTAGCGGTTCAGAGTGAAGATGTCCAAAGAGTTCAGCAACTTCTAGAGGAGAATGAGGTGGAAAATCACAATCTGGTGGACCAGAGGAATGAGCATTCCCATGCTCCCCTCCATATTGCCTGCACTACTGGAAACATGTACGTATGTATGTTTCAAAGTGTGTTGGTGTTAAAAAATGTCCCACTATACAGTAGTACTACCCCATATACCGCACCTACAACCATAGATCCGAGACTGGTACACATTATTGGTCTCGTAGCTGCCTCTTTATGTTTAGCAGCAGAATAGCATTGTACAAACACATACTATGTATACTCTCTAATGTAACTTTGAACACCCAACTGCTACAATTTGACCAGGTGTTCTCTATAATTTACCCTCGGCGCGCTTGTGCGGAGAGGGTTACAGAACTTGGTTTTTGTTTGTCTGCAGCTATTCTCACACTACAGGCTACGAGGCGATTTTCGAGATGATTTTCCTTAAGACGACTGCATTCAAGAGATATGCTGTAAAAACAAGCGAAAAACCCCATATGCATAATCGCGCTGGCTTACCTCGACCTGATCCACTTGCTCTGTGTACCTGTGTACCGGATGCACAAGAAATTATAACAAAGGGGATGAATTGACTCCCGCATGCTGTTTACTAGTGTAGCTAGCCCGTGTCAGTGTCCTCGCGAGCTAGTAGCGGGAGACCACACGTAAACATACTGATAGCCCAGCCCAGCCCATCAATTAGTGGTACAGTGCATGCGCAGTGCGCCGAGGGTTTGCACTTCAGCACTTTCATTAACCCTCGGCACCCGCATGTGCAGCGAGGGTTACAGTAGTCGTTCTGTCTGTCCGTCTGTCCGTCTGTTACCACGATTTCTGCCACCACGCGCAACCAACAGGTAAAATAGCGACACCAGCGGGTTCAGCGCTGCACTGCCTTTATTTTCAATTAGGCGATTTTCGTAAAAGTGCCGCGTTCAGAGGTTATGGCGTGAAAACCAACAATATGCTAATTAGCACTAGCTTACCTCGACCTGATCCGCTTGCTCTGTGTACCTTGGAGGCACAAGAGGCCACAACAAAGGGCGTGTATCGACTCCCACATGCTATCTATTACTGTAGCTAGCCCGTGTCAGACTCTCCGCAAGCTACTAGCGGGAGATCACATATTAATAAGCCCAGCCCTTCGCCGAAGGTTTGCACTTTAGTGCTTTTCATTTATTAAAATAGGGAACTGGTGGAACTACTAATATCTCATGGAGCAGACGTTAACCTTCGTGGAGGCTGTGATGGCTGGACTCCGATTTTCTATGCTGCAATGGCTGGTCACAGCTCCCTAGTAGAATTTCTACTGGCAGTAGGAGCCAGCACTGAGGTACGCACATAAGTAGTGTCAAATTACAGCAGAGTTACTATAGAAAAACGACACTGTGACGCTGATGCTGCAAGTGCTGACTATTATGCTCATGAACACAGATCAATGCAATCAATGGTTGGTTCTTTTCTAGAGTCTCAGTGATACAAAAACACATCAGGCCGTTGTATAGCCTGCTGTTTGTATTGTTCAGCTACCACACCCAAGGAAAGGGTCCTCTCGATCCATAATTTTTCTGACCAATGAGAGCTCTTGCCGGTGATGTAATGTACTAACAGTTAGTGTGACCAATGGAGGCTCCCATTAATGATGTAATGTACACATATGGCCATTTGAAGTGCACACAACTGTTGGTCAAACTTCATGCAGTTGCAGTAAAAGTAAGTTAAAAGGTCTAGTAAACCGTGTGCAGAAGTAAAGAACTGCCGAGAGCAAGCACCCACTCTTGACCCCACATGCAAAGTTTGGTAACCATAATTAGCCATTAGGATGGAATGCCCCAGTAGTTTTCAGACCCTCCCTAATCCTTGTTGGTAGAGATGCTGGGTATGAGGTTAGTTCAAATAGGATGGGATGCTTTGAATGAAACGTCTAGGGGATTGACAGTTTTAAGAACACTTTCCCTTTCTGATAAGTAATTGTCAACTGTGGTTTCTTCTGCCACAAAGTCTTTCTTAATCTTCAATTAATCTGATTTGTTAGCCATTCCTTTTATAGATTTGCAACAACATCTCTCCTCTTACACTGTTCCTTTGGTCACTATCAGGAATTGGATGACCAGGGAGAGAGTGTTGAGGTTCGAGTTCAAGGGGCAGTGGAGGTGGTTGAGGAAAGGCTGAAGCAGCTGCAGAAGATGACAGAGTCACCGGTCACAACACCTGCTGAGGAATCTTCTGTGAACTCACTTCAACTGCCTATTGCCATGACCCGCCAGGTATGCCTGCTATACATGTGCTTAAACACTGATGAAAAAGGCACTGTTAGAGAAATTGTTTTTAATGGACCAGCTCTCCCAGAATTCATTGGTATTGTCTGCTTGGCTTGTGTGGAAGTCAATTTTATGTGAAAATAACCCTCAGCACGTGTGCGCAGCGAGGGTTATAGTATGTTTTTATTTGTTGCTGTCTGTCCCACTATTAGGCACTACAGGCTTCAAAGAGCAGCACCAGTAGCATCATTGCATAGCATTGCAGCTATGGGCATAGAGCACTAGTATTTGCGGCAAGAGTTTGCACTGATTAACCCTCGGCACGCATGCGCAGCGATGGTTGTGTGTCTGTCTGTCTGTCAGTCTGTTACCCAACATCTCACTTCACGAGCCATGAATCGCTCCACAAAGAACACCACGTATTCAGGCCAGGTATGGGTTGAGAAGTATGTAGGGTTTTCTCTGAAGCTGCTGCGTTCGAAAGTTACGGTGTGAAACACGAGCGAAAAAGCCAATATGGAAATTACCACTGGCTTACCTCAACCGCATTCCGCCTGTTCACGTACCGTTGAGGCAACAGAAGTTACCACGGTGGGCGAGTATCGAGTCTCGCTATGCTATCTAACCCTTGTCAGACTCAGAGAGTTGGCTAGAGACCACGACACGAGTAAAACATGACAGCTTGGCCCAGCCCATCAATTGACCGTACCCCCTTGCACATGTGCAATGCATGTACTCAGATATCCACACGCGTCTAGTACGCCAAGGGTTTGCACAGTAGGATTTTCTCCTGTCAATGCATGTATCCCAAGTAAAGTTTATGCAAATTCACATCAGAATTGTACCAAAACGATATACAGATACTGTTGAAAGTAAAATACATCACCTATGTATAATGCAAGCAGCATATACAAACAGCATCAACGTAATACTGGGATTCGGCAAATGAGGACTTTTCCTCTAGTAAATGATGTCTATGTATTTCATTGGTAGGAAAGCCAGACATCTTACTCCAGTGAAAGTGAGCAGGCCTGGCTCCTCAGTCGTCACCAGAATCTCAAAGCTGTGGCTGCTGTGCTCACTCCAGCACATGAGAGACTGCTGAAAGCAATTGAGGGCCGAAATCTCTCTGAATTTGTGTAAGGGCAGATTTGTGGCCTTTTGCATGACACAGAACGATGCATGAGAGAGTGTCAACATGATGTTACTGTACAACAAAGCAGTTTGTGGCTATTTTATCACATTAGCATTGTGATCACATTAGCATTCGATGTGTCACGAAACAAATGATATAGCTTACTCCCCAGTCCAGACAGTGTTGAAAGGGTCAAAACTGAATCTGAAGAGACATTTTATCTGTGAAACACATAGAGTTGAAATGTGAAATGTGTGTGGTAAGGTGCGTGGTTGCATGCCCTGTACGCCGAGCAATTGTTATACATGGTGCTGTGATTGTGCTTGTATCACCGCTGACAATGAAATTAATTTTCTGATGTGCCTTCTATGATTTCTGTTCACTGAACCATACTCAACATTATCTGTGTTAAACTGACTTCCCACTACAGCCGGGTGTTTTGCAGTGAGTCAGTGAGTCCAGATATTTTTGTTGACCGTTACTGCCCAATCCCTGCACTGGTGAGGACTATTCAAGATGGTCTCTTCCAGTTTACAGAGGAACTGCTCAAGAGAGGAGCTACAGTGAGATATGATTCATGTTATACATGGGTGATCCCATGAACCATCATGGCTAAACATGAACCATCACTTTTTCATTACACGTAACAAGAAGCCCAAAACAAGACTTGGCAGGTTTATGTTTCAACTTCAAATTTCTGTAGCATGTGTTATGCAATTACCTTGGGGGCTCCTGACCATTTTGTGAAAATATGTATAAGAGTAGCTAGTTTGCTTCCATGTCATAGATGAACAAACAAGTATTTAGGGGAACACCGCGTGCTGTGCGACAAGTGATGACACCCTTTAAACTCCCTCCATTGGAGATCGTGTGTAGGGCATGTCAAATTCTGAGGTGGTTCACATGAACGTCAAATTAGTATTGTGTCCAGGTGAGTTCCAGTGGCCCAGCTGATATGGTACCTTTTATTTTGGCCGCTGAGAAGGGCCACTGTGACATTTTACAACTGCTGGTTGCCCATGGGGCCAAAGTCAACATACAGGTAAAATATGCTGTTTTCCATGCAAATAATATGACCATGTATTATAGCTGTTATGACCATGGTGCTAGGATGATGTGGTATTCAAGGCCCTTACAACTTGTTTAAATAGTTGGCGAGCGAAGCAAACCCACCCTTGTCAGCTAGTGGCAAATTCCTTCTGTTCTTATCCGACGTTGCCACGCTTACTGTAATGTCTTACATGATTCTAAATACATGCATGCACTTGGTATTTCACAATCGTTGCTGCAGCGCATATGCCCGTAATTGTAACTTTCGCTCGCCAAAATGCTCATTCTAGTAGCTATCAGTGAAAATAAGTAAGCTAGGAATTACAGGAACGGTGTGTGTTTACTTGGACACATTTATTGTATACTATTGTGTATATAAGGAACCTGTGCACTGACCGTAATTAAAAGGTTTAAGCACCTCTCTGTACGTACATAGGTACTCCTTGTTTACCCTCGGCGTGCATGCGCAGCGAGCGTACGGTAGTTGAGTCTGTCTGTGTGTCTGTTACTCTACATCTCACTTCTCGAGTGTTTGTTCGATATGACCTACTTAATGGGAAATGAAGGTCAGAAATATCCAACGGTTTTCTCTGGAACTGCACCGTTGCAAAGCTAGAGCACGAAAAAGCCAATATGCAAATACACAACGGACGGGATGGCTTACCACAGTCTGATCGATCCGCGTGCTCTGCGGGCACCAGAAGATGCAACGCAGGGCGTGTATCGCCTCTCGCATAGTGTAGTTAGCCCGCGTCAGACTCTGCACGAGCTGGCAAGAGACCACGAGTAACATCTAAAACTAAACCCAGCCCATCAATTAGTGGTACGGCACATGCATTTACTTACGGGTGTAAGTCACAATGCACCGAGGGTTTGCACTTCAGTGCTTTTCATTCTGTTTTGGAACTGTTCATTACCCCATGGAACTGTGGAAGTACTGTTCAAATAAATATTATTCCACTGCAGTTGGCTCATAGTAATGTTTCAAATTACTGTACTCTTTTTAAGTACTGTTGAGTTATACCCTAATGACCAATGCAAAAGCTGATACTTACGCAATTTTATATGCTGACGTTGAAGTTTGCATCTGAATACAATCAGGGACAAAATGTATACTTCTAATATCCAGTGGCAATCATTGTACAGTATGATGTGTGTGTCTCTCCCATTATTCATACCACAAAGAGCACAGACACACAGACCACGGCCCTACACGAGGCAGCCAGTGCAGGAAGTTTGGAGTGTGTTCTTTACTTGTTGAGTCAGGGAGCCAATAAAGCTGCCCTCAATTGCAATGGAGAGACTCCCTTTGATTGCACCACTGAACTGGAGATCAGAGAGTATGTCCAAGAAAAGAAAACGCTCAGTACATGTGTAATCTCAATTTGTAAGAGCATGTTGCATGTACTGGGTTTTGTTACTCCTTCCAGGTTGTTAGCTGTTGGTATCAATGAACTCCTAGTGGCAGCCTGCACCGGTGATAGTGACAAGATCCGGACCTTGGTTATTGAGGAGGGGTTTTCCCCATCCCATGAATTCCAACAGGGAGTAACTGCACTACATGAGGCTTGTGAGGGTGGCCATGAGCAGTGTGTTGCTGTCCTGATTGAGCTTGGTGCTGTAGTTAACCAACAGGTGAGTTATTAAGGTTTCTCTCGGCAATGTATCTCTGTGTGTTTCTGAGCTTGCCAAGCAGGTGAGTTAAAATATGTGTGTAACTCTTCTCTCCAAAACTTGTCTTTCTCTATTCGTTGCATTGACACCTGGGTTGCTAAGATGCATGTTAAATAGAGTTTTGCCTCTTGCATGCACAGAAGAAAGTTGCTAGCTCACAGAGAAAAGGGAGTATGGAAGTGAGCGGACATTACACTGATCATCATGGTGCTAACCTATTGCAGCTATGGCAGTGCCACATGTTTGGTGAAAAAAGAAAGAAGACACATTAGCTGGGTTGTACATTTTAACATACACAGTTAAGTTGAGCACTTTAAGAATTCAGCTTCTTTCAGAACCACTTTTAATGAGGTCTGATTTTTTGAGATAGCTAGAATAAGCCAGTTTCCATGTAGGGGCTTGATCAAGGTCACTCTTAGATCATCCAAGTGCCTATCGATATTCATCTGTATACCAGCGACTGAAATTACTTTTCCTGATATGATTATACTTACAGTCAAGGGCTGTAACTCTGATGGTCAGCCAGCTGGCACAAACACCTGGTGAATGTTATTTTCTGGAAGTTTCTTCACTACAGAATCACAGTAGTGTATTTTGAAAACATCAGAGCATGATGATAATCTGCTAAATATCTAGCTCACGTCTAGTTTAGACAACAAGCACACTACATATCAATGAACTGGAGTTTTTTCAGTGTTTCAGTGGCTGTCGCTGTGAGTGATATGCCATGACTCAGGGAAGGTAACCTTTGCGTGGAAACCTGAGGTCTTCAACTGGTAAATTACATAAGGAGGAAGCAATTTCCCTGAAGCCTTCACTTTTAAACGAACTGTATCCAGTCACTCACTGGAACCAGCTTTGGTCGAAGTTCATGATGAATGCTTGAACTTCGTCCTTGATTCTTTGCAGATACCCCAGCTTGAAACATGCAAACTTGGGGGGGTAATATTCGAGCAGCTTTTGTGCCTTTACACTTAACTTACCTGTGGCAACCTACAATAATGATTGTGCTTATTTTGGTCCCAAGATGATTGTACCACCGTGTTCCTTGCGGAGTGATGGATTCTTGTGAGCTAGAATTCCCTTGGCAGCAGCTATTGTTATAGATCTGTTTATAATCCCTCCCACCATGCAAAGGCTTCGTAAGTACTCTTCCACTTCGCAATCGTACTGTCCCAGCGTTAGTGGACGTCCCCTAGATGGGTGGGGAAGACTCTCGATGTTATCGGGATATGGCTTCTCCTGAAGTTCTTATTTTTCACGTTCCTGACCGAACTAATCTGATACTTTGCTTCCTAGCTTTACAGAAAGCTTAGTGGCTGCGGCTTTGTTTCCGTGCTCTATTGCTTATCTTCAATTTTTCGCTCTGAGTTGATCGCTGTTGTGAATGTATGACTCTTTCGCCCACACCTACAGCTTTCTCCACCTCCGTGTAGCTCTAGAAGTGGCATCGCTGTCTTCGGGGAGCAACGGGCAGCGCCTTTCTCTTTCTTTCTTTAACTGCTGCACCAGACACACCGTGAACATGTGTGAACTTTGACTCTAGCCTGAAAACATTTTAGCATTTAGGATAGGAAACGCTAATATCTATGGCGTGCTAAAATTTCTAGGTTTACAGTTTTCCTCCTGTAAGTAAGGTTACGTTTACATTCTATATGTACCTACGTACCACACCTTGATTTTAAATAAACTGACTACCACATTGGAGGTGCAATCATTCGCTAAAAGAATGACCTATCACAATACGAATTGTGGTATTATGGTATTATTCGATATTGCAGACCCACACCACTCAAGCCTCTCCTCTGCACATTGCCAGCCGAAACAACCACCTGAATATTGCCTCTCTACTTCTGAAAGCTGGTGCCAAAACACATTTCAAGGACAGTGATGGAAAGGTGAACGCAAAGAAATATCTTGCACTCCACTTTTTATTCGAACTCATAGAGTAACATGACTGTGTTTGGGTCTATTAAATAATACATGTATGTATTGCCACTCATGTATGTATTGTAAACAACTGAGGTGATATCCCCTCTGAGGGGCATGCCGTAAATTAAACTATACATGTAGACTGACTTGCCAATTGGATTATAGTGTTGTTGTGCTCCTGGTCAACATCCCCTCCATGGCAAATTTCCATTGGTGCCTGCAAATCCATTAACAACACACTGTGCATGTGTGTTTTTAACGACTGTGAGAAGTCTGTGTTGTGATGGACCATGCCTCTTGGCATCCTAATCAAGGACACTCCTCTACTTATGATTTCAATGCTGACAAATATCCGACGAAATCGTGCTATAACAATTGCACTGCTCGACATGTTCATTTGTACTAAAAATTAACCAACCTGTGCTGCAATTTTAAATATGCTCGAACGATTGGTGCACAGCATGTTTTTCCATCGAACTGTACTATAGGCATAGCCAGCATTATCTGCCGCAATTTTTTGAGGCGGTATGAGGGGTCTGAAAAGAAAAACAACAAAGGGTTTGGTGTTTTACAGCCTGGTCATGCATCTTTATAAGCCTTCGCTATATATTTCCCTATAACCTACACATATGTAAGTACATGTAATATCTGCTTTGTCTCAATCGTTGATGCGTAACTGCTTCAACAGCTTTTAAGCAAGGACTCATACACTCTTCTATGTGGATATATGCTATACACAGAAAAGTCATACAGGCACCAGTGGATTGATTAGTTGGTGGCAACGCATTGTGCATGGGTCTTTCTGAGCTGCTCCCTCAACTTGCTGTTGCCAGAAGGTGCGCTTGAACGAATCAGGTAGAAGGTCATTGAGAAAGCCACTAGGGCGTTGTTGGTGTCATTTATCAACAACATTGGCCTTGTCTGCAGCAGCCAGACCTCTTTGTCTTTAGTCTGTCTTGCTGTCTGGACAGGAGCCATTACTTGTAATGCAACTCTTTAACTTTAACTCGTTCAGGCAGTGGATTGTACGTATAATGCTTCATGGCAGGTGTACATCAACTACTGTAAGATAACATGCATTGTTGTCGAAGTCTGGTTCATCTGCCGCACACCCTGAGCATGTGCACATGAACCATTTCCAATCGCAGGAGAGAAATATATAAAGTACGTATACTAGAAGACAAATAGTGTTCCTGTTTTGTTTTCATAGAGCAGTATCCAGGTACAGATCCTACAAGGTGCAATAAGAGCCAATGTGTGACAAAGAGCAGTCACAGAACAAAATTAGTATAAGTACAGTGTATTTGATTCGTACCACAATAAGTCTTGCTATTTGTCTCTACCAGGACACAGCCATGTTTACTGTTTGCAAGCGATAGTAGCAAAGCTAGCACACCTGTGTCAGCAGCCAAGCCAAGCTAAGCATATACTGCACCACCTTGTTCGTGCAGGTTGTGCATTATAGGCAAAGCATATCTTACCAAAGTTACATTCTTTTTTAGCCTCTTTGAAGCATTGTCTGGCCTCTTTGAAGTGTTGTGATTGCACACGCATGCACAGAGGGCGTGGTACCACATACTTTAAAACCATTTCCAACCTGTTAACTGTTTTATGACCCCTCTGAAACGTAAATGATACGGAGTGTATTCTATGGATCCAAACAGAAGCTCACTCATGTACATGAGTGTAACTAGCAACGAGTCTGTAACATTTGACAGTACAGATGTATGAATGTCGCATACAACATTTATAAAACATTCCACGTTAATTTGCCCAAAATGTAATCCTAACAGTCAATTAAAATTTAGTTTTGTTCCCCACAGGTACCGTTTGAGGTGGCCAGTAGTAATCAAATGAGAAAGATTCTGATTGAAGCACGTTCAGCACTGGTTACTCCAGTTCAATACCAGCGTGAGACTAGCAAGGAAGCTCGCCTCTGCAAGATTTGTATGGACAATACCATCAATACTATCATCCTACCATGTGGACACCAGGTCAGTTGTCTCATTGAGACTGCTTACCTACGTATAAAAATTCCAGTGCATATTATGACAATGTGCATACCTGTGGTGTAAAGCCTTAATGGAAACAAATCCTTAGTGTGCATGCGCAGCGAGGGTGATTGGTGAGTGGGAGCGAGCCAACCTAGTCGTCGCAACGGGCCGATTTTCCATTTATCTATTTATTTATTTCTATCCGGCGATGCGTATGTACGACAAACATACCGTAATGTTCTACGTTACTCTAAAGAACTGCTGGCTGGCTCTAATCAAACATTACCACGTGTGTAGTTACAAAACCGCATGCAGTTACAACTGTCATGGATCCTTCAGTGCGTAGCGAGAGAGACAGCCAACGTCATGCTTCAGAAACCGTCGACACCCGGGACCGTCGATTAGCTAGGCGTAGGGAGAGACAGAGACGGAGTCGTGCTTCAGAAACCACCCACGCCCGGGACGCCGGCAGCAGCGTCTTGCTTCTGAGACCGCCGAGGAGAGAGAGACACACGCCTGTCGCAACGTCGGACGCGGGAGAGAGCATGTCGTGAAGCACCATCATCTCAAAATCGTGACACATGCCTGCAACAGATGAGAGTGGCTGACCACTGGAGACGAGTGCTATAAACTCCGTCAGAGACTCAGACAGGCATCCGCCTCTCTGGAGCACACCTACAAATAACCAGCTTCTTCTAACTTGTGATAATATAGCCATTACCTGCAAAATATACGCACAAACCACATGATACGTTAGCATATCTTCTCTGCACAAACATGCTAACCAATTGCCTGATCTGCAGTTGGGTCGTTCCCGCTCACCAAAAATGCTTAGCATTCAAATACAATAGGACTGCTTGGTTTATCCATCTGTCTGTTTGTCCCCACCACTATTCTGCCACCCCAGACTACAAGGTGGCCAAAGAGTGATAACTTGGTAGGAAGTTTTCTTAAATGCCAGTGTCATATGGCGCGAACAAGCTAATGCGATAAAGAGTGATGTCTCGCTTCCACCGTTTTTAGCAATGAAATGTATTGTGGAGGCTTGAAGATACTCAGTGTTACAAAGGTAAGACTGCATGGTGCGTGGTTTTTGAGTTGTAGGTTTTATGCAGGGGAGCTATATGCGTGTACCTTTTTGCTGGGAGTTTGCACTTCAGTGCCTTTTCAGAGTCACAAATGCTGTAGCTGTTGGCCTCTAGTTGTGCTCTTGGTAGCACTTAGCAAAATGCAGTGGAGAGCAGCGTAGTGGCCAACCCTATTCGCTGTCCTAGCAATCTGTATAATACTCTCCTTAACGCCCAGTTTGTAAGGGTGAATGGTTTGCAGTTGATTATAAAACTGACTTTAAAGGCTAGGGGAATTGGAAGACAGGTAATTGAGGCTGAGTCTATTACACCTGTACTGCGCACTATGTTTAGGCGACGATTCTTGCCGGAATTTGCAAGAGTTACCCAGCCACGTGGGAGAATATGCTGGGTCAAACACACAAGGAAAATCTGATGCAAATGGTGCAAATGTGTCACTTGCTATAGACAACCTAAACATTCACATCATGCCAGACATGAATGGCAAGGTTAGGTGTACGTGTATGGGTGTAATGTACGTAGGTAAGTGCCCTCACTGTAAGTAATGCTCACCATTATACACAGATACTGTACATATTTACAATCAGGTTACCACACACAAATGCTGAATGTCACAGTTGCCAATTTGCATATGGAATAATTCAGCTGAGGTTGATAAGCAGGATCAGTCACCTCAAGCTAGCCGACATATTGCCTAATACCCTAGCCTCTCTGCAGCACTTCATTACATCCAAATTTGCGACCTTCATGACCTCCAATCACTCCTACCAACTCTGCACACAATAGAGCCTAAAAACAGTGGCGCCAATTAGACTACTTTTCTGAGATGAGAAGTGTGTAGCTGAAATCTAGCTGCAGCCTCGTTTCTCCATACTACAGTGGTTATCACTATGTGTGATGTGTCACCCCTGTGGAAAATGTGATAGCAAGAGCAAGGAAATAAACTGAGCAAGAACACCAATGAATACACAGAAGTGATTCAGTCGGGATTTAGGCAACCACATTTTTACCATGCAGTACTGGAAGGATAGCAAATTAGTGAAGTTGAAGAATGTTTGATGTGTGAGGACAGCCCTCTGGTATGCAGAGCACTGCTGAAGAGCATCCTTGGAATTGCAACCACTCACATACACACACAGCCCCGAAACCTGCTCATGTTTTGTTCGACCGCCAATACGTTTGAAAAGCCTGCTAAGAGGATAGAACGGGTGCATATGCTTGTTTGTCAAGTATTTTGGGGCTTTTATGCTACACTTAACCACTCACCAGCCTTCAGAAAGTGTCCTGTCCAGCGTAGTGGCTCTTCTAGCTGAGCTGTCCGTTTCCACTCGCCTACCGTGAGCACAGATACTTACCGTGCCCAAGCATACACCACATACCACACGTGTAGTAGTGAAGTCAGCCCGAACATAACGTGTCTACCCTGACTTCACTCGCCAGGCTCCTCCATACGTCATACATTGAGCACTGAGAGCTACAGCTGTATTGTTAATTAACACTTACCCTGCTTATAGATGTTCTTGCATTTAGGGATTGATCAGACTCACTGTTCTTTTGCTACAGGCATTCTGCACCAACTGCGTATCACAAATCAGTGTGTGTGCTCTGGATAGAAAACCAATCAGAGAGGTTATTACAGTCTACAAGTAGGAATCTGCTGACGGAAACTCTTAAACTGATTGTGTGACACATCCTCTCTAGCTTTTTACTCTACTAGTGATGCAAACTGATGAAATTCATTGTCCTGTTATGTTTAGACCTCGGAAAATTGAAATAGTGCAAAATATTTTATGTTCAAAAAATATCTTTGATAGGAGAAACAGGTATATAGTAGCTGTGTGTATGATTACGTTGCAGGGGGATGCCTTATAGTAAGCTAACTTAGCAGATCTGCTATTGGCAATGGTGCCAGTGTGTCATACCCAATAAGATTTCCCCACCCATTGATTCCTCTGTCCTAGAGAACATTGGGTGGTTCCTTAACCCATCCTTTCACATTCCAAGTAGACACGTAACTAATAGTACTAAGGATAAACTCTTCCTGTTGGGCTCCTTGTAAAAACTCAATGTCATTAGTTGTTTTGCTAAGTGGTTGATTTGTAAAGCTGAAACCAGGATCCGAGTACTATACGTTTGGCAATAAGAATTATTCTTGGCATAAGAAATGTTGGGGTCCTTTTTCCTTGGGAAGTTACAAGCAGAAAATCTCCGTTTCAAAAAATAACGTCCAACCAAAGAGCTGCCATCTATAGTCGCTCATCATAATCAGGCTATGAGAAAGACTATATATGTGCAGCTTGCATGTCCACCATCCCATTTGTGCTGGGCGGTGTTTGTACTGAGACATTCTATAGCTAGGTATGTGCCTGTACTTTAAAGCACTCACGTGAATTGGCAGCCACGAATTATCAAGTATATACATACATCATACAGAGATTTCCCCCTGCACAGTTTGTTTGAGAAAGGCAAAGCACCCCAGGTGTTATATCTCTTTTTCTGAGGCTTCACTATGTCACTGCTACTTCCACCACCAGTCGTGTCCACATCACCAGTCTGTTCCACGGTGCGAGTGAGCCCTTCGCCACCCCCAGTTCCAGTCAGTTCCACAAGAGCATATTTATCTCTAACTATAGGCTACTTACGTCTCATTCCATATCATGTTATTTTGTTGTTGAAACACTTTGGTTGAAGTTAGAAAGACTGCATGGCAGAGATTGAGCGGAAGTCAAGAGGTTGCTTTTTTACTCCACTAGGAGAGACTCCCACAGGATGGCAGAAGTGACTTTTCAGCATCAGAGTAACTCTTACCATTTACTAGAATTTTGCATCTGCATGCACCATAATTACAACCTAATCCACGTTACCAGCAATACCCAACTACTGTCTGCATAGCCATCATTACCCTCGGCGCGCATGTTGAGTGTTCTTCTAGCTGTGGAAAGTGAACGTAGTCGAGTCGTGTGCGCGCGGTCTAGCTCCACCACCCTGACGTCATCGCGAGACTCCTCGCTGCAACCTCTGAGCCTGATTTGTTTTTGCCAGAGGAGCCATACAGGATGAGCGTACGTGGAGGCATAACTGTTGAAGACATTCCCCGTGGTCTCAGCGATGAAGTTGTAGAGCAATATTTTTTTTCAAAGGGAAGTGAGATCCAGTTGTTTCAGTTCGATAAGGAGAAGAGGAGCGCTCGAATAATATTCGAGGACCATGGAGGTATATACGGCTTACCGGCTCTTTGTATAGTTGGTCGCATAGACGTGTAGTATTGTCCCGCCATGGTCCTAGGCGCTAGGCCGCAAATTTTGTGTTACGTGCTGCCTTGTCAATTAGCTATACAAGAGTTCCCTTGTAACTAGGTCTGCAATTATTCCTTGTTTTTGCCCTATTCTTTTCCTCAATTCCTCCTATTCCTCACCTCTCTGTTCTCAAGTATTCTCAAAGAAAAAGTGTATCAATTTTATGGGATTGTAGGTGTGTTGTCTCTGTAGCTATAACTATGCGTGCTTTGAAGAACACTCATGGGGAATTCGGCAATATTTCTAGCTGTGCCAATCTCAGACTCAGCCTCAATTATTGCTGTAGCTTTGGCGACAACAGTTTCTCGATCTTCACAGGAATTGGTATCTAGTCCCCATGCAGAAACATGTGCACATGCTTACCCCGCCCCCTCAGCTAAGAAGCAGCCTATTTTATGTTCCTCTCTAGGGCTTCGTTTTAAAACTTGGTGGTGCCACAGGGAGTGAACATTGTGGGGGAGGCAGAAAGTTGGGATTCACCCTCATGATTGTTTGTTGGGATGACAGCTGCTACCGACCATTGTTGCTCATGCAGTCACCAACAGAGCGGGGGTGCCTGGAGCGATCCCATGCTTGTAAAAACCAGTTTGTTATTGTGTGCATGTGTCTGCTGGTTCAACCTAGCTGTGTAACTGTGCCGCCACTCTCACTGTTGCACCGCTTTTCCAAGATCAGCAGAAACAGAGGAGGCCGCTGCCTCCTATGGGTCAATCCAAGTTAAGCATGGCTCGCTTTGACCTGACTACACTGGTTTTGTTTAGGCATCAGAAGTTCAGAGGGCATCACACAGTGCCAATAGTGTAGCTAACTGATGGCAGACTTGTGAGTGCCACAAGTAAATCAACAGCATAACTAGGGATACTGATCTGCGCATTGCCACATGTAGTATTGCAGTGTGCTTGCCATAATGGATGAGGCTTTTGTCCGTCTATCCGAAGTGATGCTGCTTGCTCTTACTATAATCAAAGTACCAGAAATGTCACAGTGATTAACCCTCGGCGCGCATGTGCTCGAGGGTTATAATAGTTGGTCTGTCTGTCTGTCTGTGTGTGTGTCTGTTATATACCACGTTTTCTGCCACCACACGCAACAAACCGGCCAAAAAGCGACACCAACAGGTTCAGCGCTACACTGGCGATTTTCGTAAGAATACTGCGTTCTAAAGTTATGGCGTGAAAAGCAAGTGAACAAGCCAATATGCTAATTAGCACAGGCTTACCTCGACCGCGTCCGCTTGCTCTTTGTATCTTGAAGGCACATGAAGTCACAGCGAAGGGCGTGTATCGACTTCCGCATGCTATCTACTGCTGTAGCTAGCCCTTGTCCGACTCTCCGCAAGCTACTAGCGGGAGACCACGAGTAAACGCATACTACAAAGAGCCCAGCCCATCAATTAGCGGTACTGCTCATGCACAGTTCGCCGAGGGTTTGCACTTTAGTGCTTTTCATTCTTACAGCAAAGAAGTTGTTACAGCAATGAAGGTACAAGCAGCTATTACTTCACTTCTGAGTACGGAATGTACAAATGAAGTGGCATGTAGCTTTATTGCTTGATGCATGTGGGCACACTCACCACAGGAGTCACAGTTGACCCATTGACTCTCTTTTGATTGATCATTCTTTCGTATCACAAGTAATGCCGACTATGTTGCAGTGTTTCCCGCAGCATTATAACTACCGGGCGCTCTGCCCAGATTTGAAAAAATTCCGAGAATGGGCATGTACAATTATTGCGCACACGTAAAGTTCAACTAGTGCGAATGCGCTGCTTATAGAGTAGCACTTGAAAGGCTTTAGGCCAGTAGGGGATTTCCCAACAGGAAGTGCTTTGCTGTGCAGCTGGAATGCTGAGGTAATAATTAATTCATAAGCACCCTGTTTGAATTTTACCCTGCGGGAAACACTGTGCTGCCTTGATTTCTCTCGACACTGACCTTATGGACTTGGGGGACGAAGAGAACAAGCTAGACATGTGGCGAGTCTTAGTACATTCAGCAGTAGCTTTATCACAATCACTTAGGCTGTGCCGCTACTTGACACCATGGTTTATTGTCGTTACCTATTCTTTTGCCAAGTAGAGCTTCTAGGAACGTCAGTAGCTACGACCCTACTACAGATTGAGCTCTTTGAACTTGGAGGAAAGCGCTTACTTAAGATATCAGTGAGTTACCTTTAAAACATCCTTGAGGCCTGGAGGGCTGAAAGAGTACACCAAAAGGTATGTACCATCACGCAAACTTACAGAATCCAGAGGACTGCTTCATGAGAGTCTACAAGAAGTGCGCGAGACTGACTCTACCAAATGTGTCAACAACCATCTTTACTAGGCAGGATTAGAGGAGCAACTCCTTCCTAATAGGCCACAGGAGCTTGGAAAGAGTTCATTTCTACAAGACAACTTCTGCTGAAGAGCAGCCCGAGGTGCTGTAAGACACACTAAACTAGTCCAGCGAAGATCCTCCATGCACTGCAATAGATACCACTGTCAGGGCTCCCTGGTGGGCTGGTGGGCTCAGACATTGATATCGGATCACATTGTCAATTACAGTTCTTTATCTCTGTGCTTCAAAGCTACCCAGTATGTGCTTCTCAGTGAGAAAAAGTACAGTAGTTTCATGGCTCAAATAAAGTGTTCTCCAGTGACTCATTCCGCTGACCAGCAAGCTAAGATGTCAGTTTCAATGAGTTGCTTGACCATGGAGGCACTGAAACACAATCGGTCCTATCAATCACTACACTCCTGTCTCATCTAAGAGTGGTGTTTAAGAATCCTCTAGTAAGACTGCTGCGCTTGTACCAGCCAACCTTACATTTTAATCACAGACCATGCTGATACACCCAGTGAAAACCTGGGAGTTGTTCCATCACAGTGAGAGACACAGAAAGAAAGGGGCAGTAATGATAAGATGTCAACTGCAGCAGACTTGAGTTGCCCAGATTAATCTCCCAGTGCCACCACTTACACACTTATGTTTTCAAAGACATACTGTTAGTAAAACTGTGATGCTTGAGTTGTAGTGTTGAGGCACTGAGGACATCCCACTGTATGCTGTGTATGAAAATTCAGCATAGTTGGGCAAGGTGGTACACAAATAGACAGAATTTTGGGTGACACTCGATATTAACCCCAAAGTGCCTGTTGATATACTGTATTATGTATTTCTTGTGTCACATCCGTGATGACTGACATACGTACTACTATTTGATGTCGTCATGCGTGGGTGGATCAAAAGTGTTGCCACACACTGTATGAGTTCCGCTAGTGTGTGTATTTTCTATATTATGAACGTCCTAGTGTGTATCAACTTCCAATCAACATGGCATTTTGCTAAAGAAGATAACAGAGATAACAAGGAGTGAGATTGAGCGTGAGTGACAGGGGAGTGAGAGAGAGAGAGAGCAGTCTATGTAGAGACCCTACGCTCTAAGCCTTCCACTGAGCTTTTCGCACCAGGCACATGGCACGGGACAAAAGGGCCTACACTACGAGTACGTTAAGCACTAGAACTAACAGATTCGCTCTCCAAGGCGGCAGTTGGAAAATTAACAGCAGTCTAGGCGGCAGAGAGCTTTCCACAGCAGCAGGGAGGGAGAGAGGGCAGGAAATAATCAATGCGCTAGCAGCTGGTCCTAACACCGGTTTTACTGGAGTAACTAGGCTCTTGGTACCGATAGCCATAGAAACTGTGGTCAAGACGACATGAATTACTTATGTCGCGATCACATTCGGTACATTTCTAGAATAAATCACTCCGCCCTCAGGCGCTGTGCCCTCAGGACTCGTGATTTTGGCAACGTATGTGTAATACCTCATTGACGTGACAAAAGTGATACATATGATAAGTGTGTAATTTGTGGTCATCTTCCTACTAATAGTTGTCGCGGAGATACTGTCCTCTAGTCACAAAATCGGTCGACATGTGATAAAGGTCTCATGTATGGAGGAAGATGAAACCAAAAGAGAACATGGTATTTACACTAATATTTTGCATGACTTTTAACCTTTGTCGCTCATGCACACTGAGGATTACAGTACTTGTTTTGTTTGTCTTCTGCTTTTATGGCACTACAGGCTACTAGGCAGCCTGTAAGCAATACCAACCCAACAGTGCATAAGAAAAGTGATTTTCCTGTAACGACTGTGTTCAAGAGATATTGTGTAAGAATAGGTGATAAGGCCAACATGCATAATCACCCCTGGCTTGCCTCGTCTAAAGGTTTTGCTTATTCGGCTCATCGTTGAGGGACAATTTACTCAAGGGAAGTGTATATAGTTCCGCCATAAGAGGCTGTAAGCAGGACAGATTTCTCCAACATATTCAGCTTCATGTTGAGCTATTAGTATTAGGTGTTCAAGGCCAAATATTTGAACCGAAAATAGTTGGACAATCTACCAGGAAACGTTTACAATTGAATGAACTCTTAATACTGCCCAATTTGTTATAGTTTTTAGCATCTAAACATGCAAAAAGCAGTGTACTATTAGGACGGTATTGAAAAAGCAGTGTGTAAGTGTAATATTATATATGGGAGTCATTAAACGAACCAGTGTGTTGGTGAACTATGGAGACGTGGTTTACCGTGTAAAAACTCAATAAGTTATTGTCTCTAGACTACAAACTTTACATACAAGCACAAATCGTGCCTTAACCTGTATGTAGCATGATTTTCAATGAATGCTCGAGCTCTCGCACATTAATTAATTAGCTCCAATGAACAGTGAATACTAGACTGGAACCAGTGGAGTAACTCTCAGGGCACCTGGTCAACCCTGGGTTAACCTGTTCAATTGCTATGTGGAACAGGCACGGCAGTGCATACTGTACTTGACCTTATGTGCATGGGGTAGATTGTACGCATTGTGTGGACGGTCTGTGTCTTAAAATGCTTTCATTATTCACACATGTTTTTTCATTGTGATCTTGTTTTTGTAGGTGCCAACAGTGTACTTAAATGTGCAAACCCTCCCGGTGAAGGGGAGAGGTTTGAACAGTGTAGTAGAGAAACACCTTCAAAAAGTGATACAACTGAAGTTAGCTCCTCAATAGTCACAATGAATGTTGAATTTGACTTACATCAGTGGAAGGTGGTATCAAATTTGGGTGTGGTGCAAGAAATTGAAATCCAAGCCAGGCAGCTTGGACTTTCTATTACACATCCGACTTACGAGTCTTCTACTGTAAAAATTGTAGGAACTGTGCAGCATGTTATTCTAGCAAAACAACGTTTTGAAGATTTAAAGAAACATATTTTAGTTTCATCAAAGACCCTTCATTATTCACCTGGGCTTTGGACAGTTCTCAAGTCCATGAAAGATTCTATTAGCCTTTTAGAGCATGATTGCAATGTTTCAATAAACATAAAAGCTGTTCCATCTAACTACAGTGATACTGATTCCGGACCAAGTCGTGTTGTTTTTGTGGCGCAAATCAGTGAGTGCAACGTTGAAATCTGTTTTGGAAATTTTGTACAGCATCCTTCAGCTAGCACCATGATTAATTTAGTAGTACAGAATATTGACCAGCATCACCTTCCTGAATTGATTGAAGCTGGAGGTAAACAGGTTTTCAGTGACATTTACTCAAGGGTGAAAGAGTTGTCTTCCTGCGTGTTGCCTCAAGTGTTTGAGACTAAGCCCCGTAGTCTCTCAGTCCAGAAACTGATTAACTGCATGGTTCTAAAGTGGAATCCTAATGATAAAAAGACGGCTGCAGTTCTAGAGGAAGGACTTAGTGGTGCTATGATCAGCTCATCACGTCCATGTGTTGTCATTAATCAATCAGCACCCATCAAGTGTCCTCCTGTTGTGTTAGTAGATATTATAACAAGAGCAATCGAAACCAATTCTGACACTTTAGCTGGGTTTACCTTTGCGCTTTATGTGAAAACAAAAGAAGGTATTAAAAGTATTGGACATTTCTTTAAAGACAGACATGTACGAGTCACATCAAATGATCCTTACGACCAGCTAGAACATTTAAGTGGTGATGATAGCGACATGTATATCAATGTGTTAGAGAGTGATTTGTTCTCTTTTTTTTCGGTTGCTCATGGAAATCTTCTTGAACAAAAGGTAATAGCCTTTGTAGTGTTCTATACAGTAATGTTGTACATATGCGTTCCTTTGTTCAAGCTCCAACTAAAGATGTTCTGTGGTAACGATAGTGAAGTAGGAAGTTTTTCTTTCACCCTGTACAATGTTAAGTTTCACCAGCTAGCTACACTAATAACACTATTGTTGCCGAAAGAGACATATTCAACATGGCTTTATGCACACTCTGGAACAATGGGTGCAGTTTAGTGACAGAGGATATGTGGTGTTTCTGATTATGCGAGGTTCATTGTGCTTAGTAAAACATTTTCATTCCTCTTTTCACACTAGGTACAGGTGTATGTGAATTCTACAAATTCAGACCTTGACCTTTCCCGTGGGGTGTTGTCTAAACAACTTTTGAAGTTAATGGGACAGAAACTGCAGGATCATTGTAATGAGTATGCGCCATTAGCAACTGGCAAAGTAGCAGTTACATCAGCTGAAAAGATGTTTTGCAATGTTATCCTGCACGTTAATCTTCCTTCCTATGGTGTGAAAGGTTCACAGAGGGTAAGTTGATGACATCTATTTTGTTTGCCACCAAGTTTCATGTGTAGATTGTCAACATGGGTAGAAGTTGCTTGAAAATGTGCATGATTTTCCTCATGCCACTCATCATAGCACATGACATTGTGGAAATGTAAATAATGTACCGGTGTTCTTTTCTGATTTTGCTTCAATAATAACTGGGCAGATCTGAGCATGACAAAAACATAGCATAAGAGGAATTTCCCAACAAGAGCATTATGATTTGTCTGATTAACAACACCCAGGTACGTATTATTTGTTGATAATGGTTTTCTAGTAATTACCATATAGCCCGCAAAGAGAGCATGTATTGAACATAAAATACTGAAATTCCAACATGGCAGATGGACTTATTAATCAAACGTGACACTGACCACGAGTGGCCCCTGCAACAAATACAGTTTAGGCGTTCTAGCCGCATTTTCAACCGAGAGTTGAGTGTTTTAGCTACTTTCTTCACTCGCTGTCAGTCAAAGAAGACCTGATGGTTAGCACAGGCTGTAGTAAAACGGCCGTTATGCGGATGCTCAGGCTATATCGATGTTACAATATTGTCCGCCATTTTTAGATTTGATTTGTTATTCCGCGGTTACTTACTCCCTCGCCCACTTCCTGGGCTCAATATGCTCCAGGTCAATGCCTTCTTGACAACCTTTTTACTTTTTTGAGCAGGTGTTTAAGGAGGCAATGCAAAATATTTTGCAAATATGTCTTGATCAGTCCCTGACTTCAATTGCCATTCCTTCACTGGGAACTGGAAAACTGGGATACCCACATCATTTAGTGGCTGATGTCGTCATTTCTGAAGTACTGGGGTTCAACGAAAAGCATCCGAAGTTTTTCAAGAAGGTTGTTTTGGTTTTATCTGAGAGACATGTGTATGAAAAGTGTATGAAAATCTATGCAGAGAAATTACTGACTTCAACGTCAGAAAAGGTGAGATTAGTGGTTATGCATTGAGAGTATAATGGAGAGATCTTGTCTAGTGCTACATACACAATGTCATATTCCATATGTTATGAGGGTAGAGACAGGACTTTCCAGCGTATAATATGGTATGTGTGCTATACCTTTTGGTCCTCGGAGAAACTCACTGAAATCTCTTGTGCCATTTTTGTGGTGCACAGGGGAGCATAAAGTTACAAAGAGCTCGATGGTATCTATTGGGGAGTATTACGATACAAATGAAAGGCACTAAACTAAAGTGGCAACCCTCGGTGAACTGCGCATGCACTAAAGGCTACGAAGCGGCCTGAACTACACGAACCTGAAAAATATAATGGCGATTTTTCTGAAACGACTGTGCTTGCCGTGAAAACGAGCGAAAAAGCAAATGTGCATAATCGCACTGGCTTACACCTGCTATTTACTAGTGTAGCTCAGACTCTCCACGAGCTATATACTAGCATTGAGACCACGAGTAAACGCATACTCGTAGCCCAGCCCATCAATTACCACACTTGCGTAGTGCGCCGAGGGTTGTGCATTTGTGCATTGAGCGTATTGCTTTCGCAACAGAGGCAACAAATTCCGGAAGGCAATTGAATGCCTCTTTTCTTGTCTAGACAAGTATGGGGTAAACCAGGAAACCTTAAAACACCCAGCCGTTCTTCACCAAGTGGAGGACCAGTTAATCCTCTTAATCTTCTTGATGGCATGTTGAAGGTGTTTTGTTGACCATTTTGAAATGCTTCTGTATGGTTCTTCTGGCATCACCTACATCCTGCAATTCCAAGGGGGGAAATCTATGATATATTCAAAGTTCTGGCAATCCCAAGAGGCATCCACCCGAGATAAGGCTCCATAATGGTTGAGTCACGGTTTTTCAGCCATCTTAAATGCTCCATAATGATCAAAACCAGGGTTTGGTAGTACGGGCTGGAGTGGACTTCAAAGGACTTCAAAGGACAGCAATGGCACCTGCCAGTCTGTGTAAATGGGCACATCTGGGAGGATGGTGACTGATGTAATGAAGTGCAAACCCTTGGCGAACTGCGCATGTGCGTTACCGCTAATTGATGGGCGGGGGCTATAAGACGTTTACCTGTTGTCTTCCGCCGGTAGTAGCTCGCTGAGAGTCTGAAAGGGGCTAGCGACAGTAGTAGATAGCTTGCGTGAGTCGATACACACCCTTCATTGTGACATCTTGTGCCTTCAAGATACACAGAGCAAGCGGACCCGGTCGGGGTATGCCTGTGCTAATTAGAATATTGGCTTGTTGACTTGGTTTTCACACCATAACACTTTAACGCAGCACTTTTACGAATATCGCCATTTTAAAAATGAAGCCAGTGTAGCACTGAGCCCATTAGTGTCGCTTTTTTACCTGTTTGTTGCACATGGTGGCGGTAACAGACGGGCAGACCAAGTACTGTAACCCTTGCTGTGCATGCGCGCCGAGGGTTAAAAAAATTGGTTTGAGCTCTTTGAATTGACGAACCATTGCACTATGAACTATGATGCGTACATTGAACTTCGCTCGAATCCGACGAATGATGAAGCGATAGTAACAATAATTGTTAGGTTCATGTTTAAACAATGGAGAAGAAGTCTGTTGAATTGAGTTATATCCTTGAAGGCGGGTGTCACGAATGGCCGAACTTACGTATACAAGTACCTTACTCTATCTTGAGAGAGTCCTGCAGCTGGAATGACTCTTGGGAGTGAAGCTTGGCGTACTTTCGCAGTTGTGACACCACGTTTCAAGATAGGGATTTGGACCACATCTGAGGTTAGTTTTTCCCTTGCTTTGACAATGCCTGGAAAATCAGAGCTGACTTAAAATGATGATATTTGCGAATTCCTGTAACAGCCTTGAAAAGTGAATTAATGAACTGGTCCCAATTTCTCCATTCCCATGTGTAGAGTTGGTTTCTACTCGAGCGACGAACAGTTTCCTCAAGGTGTTGCATGGTGTCACAGTCAAGTCGACGGTACATTTTCTTTATAAGGCCAAAATGGCCATCAACAAGGCACCTTGAATGACCAACTTCCATAAACGACAAAGTAATTTCCTCGTGTCATCCAGTAATAACACACCATGCTAAATATCCAATAAAAAATCCATTTTTATTCTGGCCGACGCAGTTGTCAGCGTGGCAATGGACTCTTTCAAACCATGATTACTAAAATAATGATCTAACATTTAAATGACGGCATTAGGGGCACGACATTTTGTTACATCTTTACCAATGGTCTCTGATTCATCAACAAGGCAATTGTGTTGGATTTTTGTGGTGTCACAACAAATTCCAAATAATGATGTGGCAAGGACAGCCGTTCGGCAAAATCAAAAAAGTGTAGTGTGCAGATGTAGATGCTGATGCACTACAACAGTTGAGGTAGTACTGACGTTCCGCCTGGGCTTGAGCGAGATGATCAGAGAAAGCTGCTGTTATAGAAGCCTTTTCGTCCTCAGTAGTGGCAGCTTTAATATTGCACAGGTTTGGGCTGAAATCCAATGCTTCTTCGTCACTCTCAGTATTGCTCTCATTACTTTCTGTGCAGCTTGCCCCATTGCAATAAAAGTCGGCCGGCCCGTGCGCCTGAGCGCGCGTGCCTCCTGCGTGTGCGGCGCGCGGGGGCTGGCCCGAGGATATAGAGCCGGTTTCTGCCGTTAACTACGTTTAGCGCATCATTGTTGCCTAGTGTGCTACTCTTGTAGGGGCTAAAGGTTACCAAAAGCAAGCATTCTTTCACCGTGTCCCTGTTGTTTTAGTAACATTTATACTGCCATTAAACTCCACTTGGACTCTATAAGGGTGTTGGTTACTCAGTAAGTTCTGATGGTGAATGTTTAATACTTAACCTAGGCAACAATTGGGTTGGGGGTACCGGGTGTCAGCGTACTCAAATCTCTTCATGTATCCCAGCCCTATCTTGTCTCCCTTTTTTTTATACCATCCCTATGCCTCTTTTTTAAATTCGCAGGATTTTTAATTTACTTGTCTCCACTCATTTTTATATACTACTACGCATTATCTCTGTGGAAGGGGGCAAGCCCCTATAAGATTAATATTAGAGGAAAAAATGCCTGTTGTCGTCATGGAAATATAACCATACCATGTTTCATCTCCATGTGTGCTGCCGTTATATAGCGAGTTTGAGGAGAAGTAATTTTAAAGAAAAGTGCCTGGGACTATTATGTTGTTGTGGTCGTCATGGAAACGGTGTTACACACATGCGTACCAAGTTTCATCTCCATGCGTGGGGTACCGTTAGCGAGTTTGAGGAGTGAAAAGTAATATTAAAGAAAAGTGCCTGGGACTATTTGTTGTTGTGGTCGTCATGGAAACGGTGTTACACACATGCGTACCAAGTTTCATCTCCATGCGTGGGGTACCGTTAGCGAGTTTGAGGAGTGAAAAGAAATATTAAAGAAAGTGCCTGAGGCTTTTTGTTGTTGTGGTCGTCATGCAAACGATGTAATACACAAGTTTTACTTCCATGCCACGGCTGTTTCACGTAGGACATTTAGCGCTAATTTAGAACATTACGGTATTACCGTTACCTTAGCTACGGGGCTCGCGCAAGATTTGGAAGTTAGTCGCGGTTTCGGGAAGGAAGCTTGGGGCCTTCGTTGGGCCGCAAAGCTTCCTTTGTTACATTCCACACATTCTCAGATAGTCAGAGTGGTCTCTCTAGAAACCATAACACAGAACGGCGCAGCGCCCCGACACTGTTACCGCAGGTGCGCACGCACAAACTTCGCGGTACTGCAGAACAGCTGGAAGGGAAGGTCCTTCGTGTTTACTCACTCTGCCCGTGATAGGGAATTTTCCCTGGGAAGCCCAGTGTAGTAAACCACAGCTGAGGAATCCCCACGTAAGTTAGTGCGGACTAGAACCAGCTTCGCATTTTTTGGAGAAAGAAACATCAATCTAAAAAAATAGACATAAATTACAGGAACATGATGGATTCTGAAGGGCATGAGTTTCATTACACATTACACTCAAGTTCCCAAACACTGTTGTGTGTGGGAAGCACTGCAGTAGTAGGGAGAGCAAGTACAGTGTTAGAGCACACACATCAGCTCTTCTGGCTGTCTACGGTGTCTTGGCTGAGAGAGATGATCCTGCGATTCACCCGCCAGAATTCTGCCATGCGTGCTACTGCAAAATGAAGAGAGAGGTGCCAATGGGGCCCCCAACAATGTCCAGAGCATATATTTGGAACAAACACACTCCAGAAAACTGGCAGTAAGGAAATAAAACCAAGTATATATGTACACAAAAAACTGTTCTAAAATATACATGCGGCCACTTCCGTGGGTCATGACAGGTCGGCAGACCGAGAAAGAGGAGCAGTGAGGGTTGCCTGGGGCCACGGCAAAGATTGGTGAAGACAATTTCCCAACTTGGTCCACCGCCTACTCACATCACCCAGGAAGCTCTGGAGTACATCCTCCCACCTCACACTCCTTTCACACTCGGTGACATTGAGTGTCCACTGTGTCTGGAGGTATTAGTCAGACCTCTGCAACTCCCATGTGGAGCACACTGCTGCACATCATGTGTCTGTGCATGGGTGCAATGCACCATCACACTGGATCCTCTTCCATGTCCTTGCTGCATCCAGTCACATGCCTTGGACACCGCCCAGATAAGGGCTGCTCCATCTGTGCTGCTGAAGCTCCTCGAGTCACTCCAGGTCCGCTGCAGGAGGTGTGGGAAGAAAGTAGTTGGAGCAGCCGAGAAGCACCTGCAACACCTTGAGAGTGGCTGCAAGCTACACCTGGTGTTGACAGACCAGGATCCCACTCCTACATCACACGCATCTCCTCCTGACAACATCCTCACTCTAGCAACAAGAGGCAGGGTGAGAAGACACTTTATAGGGTTAGATCACCATCTTTACATTTATAGCCAAGCACCTGGATAAGGGTTTCCCAGAGCGGTTGCTGGAACGTTAGATGTCTCACCCAGACAAGCGACAAGACGCACAAAGGCCCTCAATGAAGTGCGAGAGATAGTCTCAGGAGGAGATACCAACAAACAGCTGCAGCTTGAAGTGAAGAGTTTGCCAAAGGCCAGCAGAGAACAGCTGATGCACGATGCTGGATTCTCGGTCCATGTTCCTGCAGGTAAAGGTCAGGAGCTATTGGCTTTAGAATCAAGGTTGCATGGCAATGAGATGCGACATCGGCCTCCCATGGAATCAGTTGAGACAGTTGAGAAAGTGAGTTATAGTATTAAATGCGTAGCATATAGTTAATAATAATATAGGTGGCTGAGGATATGGGGAGTACAGATGGAGGGAGAGAAGAAACAAAGGAAAGGGGTCCAGGGGGTGGTAGAGAAAGTGAAAGGAGAAGTTGTCCCTTTCTCCTTCCCAAAGCGAGGGCATACTGGAGAGGAACTACGGGCATCAGCTCTGGTTTATCTGGAAGTACTGCAGGACCACTTGCTGCAATTGCTGGATGATAACAACCAGTCAGTTTGCCAAAGACATTTACATCACCTTTTGTGCCTCTTTTAACAAAATTAGAGCTTGTCGGATCACATGGGACAAGGGCATGCTGGAGGGAGAGGTTTGGGTGAAGTTGGGAGGGGACAAAGGGGGTTCGTGTATGAAGGTCCAGGCACAGTTATGCAACGTGCCCACACCAAACTCACCAAAGAACACATCAGTTTTCACGGCATTTGAAGCACCTGACACCTTCACGAATCTCCATATAGCCCTTGAGCGTTATAAGGAGCAGGTGATCCAGCTCCAATCACTGACCTGGAGGTATATACAATATCCAATAAAAATGTCCTTTATGTACGTACATACGTACATACATACATACTTACAGTGGGAAGAGAGTGAGAGTCTTCCTCAGTGGGGATTATGAATTCCTTTGCCGGATGTATGGTCTCTCTGGGGCTTCAGGTTAGACTATTGGATCTATTTGGTTAAGAGTAACCAAAATCAATGTAGGTTGTCACTGCTGTCTCTGGTGTGAAATATCCAGTGACCAGCTAAGGACACCACTCCACACACGTGGGTACTCCCAGCCACGGACCTTGGACACCTTGAAGAGGGATCACCAGCAGTTCCTACAGAGTGGTGGGAACATAAAACATGCCAAGAAATTCAACAATGTCATACAGCCACACATGTGGGATATACAAATAGACCAGGTATTATAATTACACAAATTGTGTACCACTTGACGATGGATCTATTTTCAGATATGTTTACCTGCACTACACATAAGCCTGGGAATATTCTATCGCCTGTACACACTGCTGGAACAGGCAGCTCACCAGTTAGATTTGCAATTGGCACAGGAGAGGAGCGGTGGAGAGCTGGGCGGTGAAACGTTTTGGCGAGTATAGGCCAAAAATTTAGAAACTCCACCAACTCACCGAGGAGAGAGATGCCCACGTGCAGGCCATAGCAGCGCTAGAGGAGTTGGTACCAAGAATGGCTTTAACAGCCACTTCCGAAGATTCTGCGCGTGCACAGATCAACTATGCTGAACAGGGCATTACTGAGTGCAGGAAGAAGGCACACGAACTGGTATGATGAAAATAATAATATACATAAGATAATTTTATACATATTATACATAATAGGACAGAGAGATTGATAAGGTCAAGAGTGACATAGAGAAAGGCTTCAGGATGGAGGAAGGTCCTTTCATCATAGGCGCTCTCAAAGGCTTCAATGTCCAACGTGAAAGCCTACTATGGTGGGACATTTGTAGGCAACCATGTTCATAGGTGTCTCAAGGTAAACATACACATAATCATTGCTTGACATAATATCACACTCTGCATCTAGGCTGAAAACATCGACACACTTTGTCAATCTGTGGTGACAGTGGCAGAGGAGTGCCCACCCCTTTTGGAGTCGGCCAGAGCTGTCTGTCGACAATTCGTTGACACTTTTACTTTGTTTGCAGCATGCCACAACAAATACAGCAACAAGTACCTCTCAGAAGCAACGATATCAACTCTTGGTAAGTTCGTTTTTCAGGAATGGATGCAAGGAACGTAGTATTCAATCATGCAGAAACAGACATAAAGACCTTCCTTCAGCACTACAGACAGACATACCCACATGCAACTGTGACCCCCAAGCTTCATCTCCTTGAGGACCACATGGCACCCTGGATCAGGAAGTGGGGTGGAGTTGGATTCGGGGTAATGGGCGAGCAAGGGGCAGAGAGCATCCATGCCGAATTCAATAGGATAGAGCAAAGGCACCGAAACCAGCGCCACGACCGCGTGGAGAGGCTACGACGGGTAGTTACAGAGCACCTTCTGAAAAGCCTACCCAGTCATGTCGCCGCACAACCCCCTACAAAGCGCAGGAAGATCGCCGAAGAGTGACAGCGGCCTTGGATCAACTATAATATTCGCCACCTCCACGCAACGGTTGCGCAACTGTTGCGCAACCATTACCGAATTGCTACGCATCCAATACGCAACGTTCTGACTTACAAACTCGTTGTAGATGGCCTAGATCCCTGCAGAGCCAGGGGTCTTGGATATCAGGCGTAGCACACACGCTGAGCTAGCTACTAGCCACAGAGACTTGTACGCATGCGTGCAAAAATTGACAGTTATGTCTGGAAAATTTGCTAAGTATTATACTTAGCAAGGCGCGTTTCTTCGCGCGAGCGGGAATGACTGCACACTGCAATATCATTGGCCAAAGTTTGGCGCGGGCGGGAGGTTTCCCGGCAAAAATGGTACATTTAAAAGCATGAACTTGCTAAAAGCCTTACTAGAAGCAGTAAAAGATGTCTCTCCTTGAGCTAGGACCGATTATATTTGGCCTAACAGCAGGAATTATAACATACTTCAGAGCAAAAGGCCTGTTAGCCTCTACTATGCTGTGCACAAGGTATGAAACTGTAAATAAGTGTAGCTAGATGTATTAAAATCATGTAATGCAGATGCGGCATCCAAATGCATGAACGCCAGAGAAACCAGGCAGGGTCAGATGGTGTGTGCTGGTGGTGCACAACCTGCAAAACAACAAAGTCAATACGCGCCAACAGTTTTTTCACCAAGTCCAAGCTGACACTTCAGCAGTGGTTCATTTTAATTGTGTGGTGGGCCAGAGAATACCCGGTCTCTGCAGTTCGCAGTGAAGCAGAGGTAACAGAGGTCACATCCTGCCAAGTTTACGAGTAGTTGCGAGAAGTCTGCTCAACCACACTTTTGCAAACACCCATCATCCTTGGCAGGCATGGTGTAGTGGTTCAAATTGATGAATCACAATTCCGCCACAAGCCAGAGGTAAAGTATGGATAAAGTAAGTTGTTTTGAAGAGTATATTTCTCCAGACAGGACGCATGGGTGTTTGGAATAGTTGATACCTCCCACACTCCTGCCTTGGGGTACATGGAGCTGGTACAGAAAAGAGATGCGGCAACACTTCTTCCAATTATTCAGAGGCCCGTAGCTCCGGGGTCAGTAGTTCACTCAGACCAGTGGCGCGCCTACAGCCAGGCTGCAGCTCTTCCACCTGTAACAGCTCACCACACGGTGAACCACTCCATAAATTTTGGAGACCCTGTAACTGGAGCGCATACTCAACATGTTGAATCGTACTGGAATCGTGTGAAAGTGAAGTTGAAGCACATGAGAGGTTGTCATCTCCGCCAGCTTCCCGGATACCTGGATGAATTCATGTGGCGGGAGAGATATGGAAAAACCGGGGAAGAGGCCTTCACAGCAATCTTGCAGGACTCAGTATCCCCTCTAATTAGTGCCTACCCAGAATACCACAACAACTCAATAATAGTGTTTTACCTACAACAAATCTGGTTTGATATCCATCGGGTTTGGTGACTTTAAAGTGTGGATATTTCCTCCAATGTCTCTCGTGGGATATCCCTTGAATTCAAGTAGTTCAGTCAGCGTTGTAAGTGGGCGGGTCTACGTGAGCGCGAGCATACGTGCGCGTGCGTGCGAATGGCGCTTGCAGGGGATGACATAATGCAGCACTAATCAGAACGTTGCGTATTGGATGCGTAGCAATTCGGTAATGGTTGCGCAACAGTTGCGTAACCGTTGCGTGGAGGTGGCGAAAGTTGATCCGTGACAGCTACACATACACATTAGCTACGTTATCAAACTTACATGAAGAATTGCGTATCATAAAAACCAAGATCTTTTTTGCTCTGCCACGCATAAGAAAAAATGCGAAGTGGAATAACTTCAGGTCCCTGGGCATGGTACATCCTTTGGCCTTGTTTCTGGCGCAAATCCTTTTCTGAGAAAATTCGCAAGTGAACAGTAAGACCGCTTGAGTCGACCATACTACTTGGGAACGTAAGGCAGTCCACGTTCGGTGGATTTTGAAAACGGCTTGGACGAAAACGCTCAGCAAAGTCTCGTCCACAAAGCCAGCACTGCCAACGCAGCAGGAACGACACGTGTGCGCCGAAAGAGCTGCCTAGAAACGGAACGGAACAAGCGTCGGCGACAATTTCAAAATTTCAGAATTACGTCATCGTACAACTTAAAACGCGCAATCGAAACAGCCGTGATGCGTGCTATAGTTAGGGAGTGAAGAAGTAATTTTGAAGAAAAGTGCCTGAGGCTATTGTTGTTATTTACAATGATGTATTGTTGTGATTTTGATGTTGGCTATTGAATACATTGTGTATAAAAACTTTCGCTCACGTAACTCTTACCAATTGTGAGTTACACTGACACATGTAGTATACCATTGCCTGGGGCAATTTTGTTGTTTTTTACAAATAATAAAGTATGACGTTGCACATGTGGTTATCGATATGTACATTCCTACAAACTTTAATGGCTTTATATCTTTCGGTTTTTGAGTTACGCTGGTTTAAGAAAAAGAAGAACAAGAAGATGAACAAAACTCCCTATCATAGCTCCATACATCTATGATGCTAGGTACCATGCCAATCCCTACATACTAAAGTAGTACTTAGTGATACCATCCCTACCATTCACCATTTTTAATAGATATATGTGCTTGAGTGACTTTCACATCGGCTCGAGTGTTGCGTTTAAAGCTCTGCAAAGCAGCTGCTCATGTGCACACTCTTCGGCAACCGTGCATGTTTTCATGCGCAACATGCTATGCGTATCGACGTAATATTACAGATGCAGAATTGTGGCTGTTGCGTATAAATTGGTAGTGCGCCCAGAAATAAAAGTTATAACTTCCACACCTTACACACTAAAAATACGGGATTAATGTTGCTGTATGCACTTGCAAAGACCGTTTGGATGATGGAAATTTCGGAGTTAGCCTCTTACCCAGGCATTTGTACCATCCCGTGACATCAGTAAGATTACGTACATAAAAGTTTTCATTTGCATGTATAATTTTTTACCAGCAGCATGCAAGTTATAGAGCTGTCTTTCAGGCTCGTGGCATATCCCAGTTTTAGTCACATGACAGTCACAGAGTCTTTGGGATAGAGCGAGAACTACAGGAGTCTAGTCAAGCTGACATCGGTTCGGCGAAACTTCCTTATTGATGAGACCGAAACAGACGTCAGGGGAGAACTTACAACAATTATTAAATGCAAATGGTTCAGACCGGTGTGAACTCTCAACATGGTGTTCTTTTTATTCTGGCCGCTGCAGTTGTCAGCATGCAGCATGCTTTCCAAAAAGCAGGTTGTAGCTGGTTGCTGGAAAAATCAGAGGAATAGTGCGCCGTGACATTATTCCTATCATTGGAGGTCAAACAAACTACAGGAAGTTAGCCTATGCCTGCCATCTGCTCTCGTCCAACATTTGCCTGTATACAGATCTCTCATGGGTCACAAGCAGGAGATGCTCCTCAGCTCTCTTGACTGCCAGAAGTGTAGTAATTGGAATGGGTAATATATGTTTGTTTACCTAAATTACATGTGTTTCATTTACCTTTCTGCGCCCACATAATGAGTGTGCTGTTCCTGTGGCGTGGTCGGACATGGGTTTCGTCCACACAACCTGAAGTGTCAGCTGCTTCCAGAGGGAGTACTAATTTGCGTGCGTGCCCTCGTGTTGAGCTGCAGCTGCCTGGTAGAACTCCCACACCTCTCTCTTGGTTGTGGACGACGGGAATAGCTGGATGTCGTCCTGCTTGTTACACGCAACTCCCCCAGGGAGAAGGATTGTGTGGTCCTCAGCATACTGCATGACGAACTTTACGACCAGTTCGACATCTGGGAGACTGGTGGCATTGTGGGGATGGACCTGGGTACGTCGACATGGGCAGAGTCCATTCTGTAGCCAGCTGGTCTTCACTTTTTTTGAACTTCCAGTGCCTAATGTCATGCAGGAAGCAGTGCGTATTCTGGCAGATTGAATGTCTGCTGGATTGAAACTTGAAGAAGCCCTGCACTCACTAACTTGCTCTCTCTCTTCATCCCAGCCTGCAGTGTAAGTGCTAACAGCTCCCCCACACAAAATGTACCGAAGAATACCATGCGTTTAACTAAGAGATGAAATTTACCTAGCCATCAGGACCATTTGGGTTACGCCCACGCTAACATTCCATTTGCCATGCCCTGCTTACTCGGTTTGCCAGACCCTATCCCTCCCTCTTTTTCCACCCTCCAATTTAGTTGCACATGTGCGTTAGGAGGGGGTCTGGGGCTGAGAGTCGGAGACTACCCCCATCACTATGTGGTACTAGGAGTTTAGTGGGTATGGCTCACTGTTTCTTCTCCATGCCTCAAGTATGAAACGAATGAGCCAAACTCAAACCAGACATTGTTGATAAGGGTAGGGCGGGAGTGTTTGTGGTAGTTTGGCGTTGTTTGCATCACTCGTCCCATACTTTGTGACAGCTTTATTGTTCACTCTGGAATACTATCTGCACTGACACTTCTGCATGCTTGCTGAGGCGGGGGGGGGGCATTTTTGGTGTGCATACATTGTGTGGTAGTTAGCGGTATGGTAGGAGAAGCCGGTGGGTGTGGCACAGGAGACTTTGCTGTTGTAATGTGCATGTGCAGCTCTTCGTTCTTGTACTCCTAACTTGTGGCCAGTAAAAGGCCTTATCTCCATCATCATTATCGTTAATGTTTTGGAGTCATTGCCGGCCCTCTCTAGGAAGAACTGTTTGGCAGATTGCATGTCTGTTGGATAACTGAGTATTTCGTTGCTACATGTCACTACATGTTTGAAACTGTGTCCACTATGTTCTTTATCTAAACTGGTTATTCTGAAAATATTTTTGTCATGCTCGCACTTCTATGCCAACTGTTCCTTTGTCTAGTATGTACGTATGTTTAAGTCTACCCCCCATTTATTACCCATGCTGGTTGATTTTCCCCCATTCAGGTCCATGCAGTAGAAAAAGCAGCAACAGGTGATAAAGGCTCGGCAATGCTATATGTTCAGTGCCGTGGCATCGAAGAGGATGGTTTTGATGTTATCGTTAATCCAATCAGCAGTGGATCGGACAGTAACCCACTAGTACAAGTGCTCAGTAAGAAAGCTGGAGAGACACTACAAATATTGTGCTCCCAGCTCGTGGAAAGTTTGATTTTGGTAGATGAAAAAAAGTCTGTTTTTACAAAACCCAGTGGCCAACTTCGTTGCAAGAAATTGTTGCACGTTTATAATCCCAACACTAATGAATGCAACACCGACACATTATGCACTGTTGTTCTGAATGCTCTTAGTCTGGCTGAGCAAGAGCAGTACAGATCTCTCTGCCTGCCAATGTTTGGTAGTGGATATCCACTGGAAGAAAAGGCAAGCAAATTGATTCAGGCATGTTTAGAATTTGGCCAAAAAGCTCCGGTTTATTTAAAGAAAATTGTATTAGTAACTGCAGAAGAGTGTGATTATGACAAGGTCTGTTCATGCCTCTCCAATATCAAAGCTAGATCCAAAATGTCCATGGATCCTGCTCCTGTACATACTATGAATTTGCAACAGTGGTCTTGGAGGCAAATCAAACGACGAAGTCTTCATCCTTGGGACATGAAGGACTTTAAGATGCTGAAAAATAAAGATGCAGTTATCGATGTTTACTGTTGTATGGCACAACAAGGCATTTCAGTAATTCATGATATTGAAAGTGAACTGATGAAAAGACTTGTTACTGATTACATTGAGGATGAGCATATACACTACCTTATTGCAAGTGAACTCAGTGATATCAGGTGTTATGCAGGTCAGATTGGGGTGGCAGTTTCCCTGACCAAGCAAAGAAATAGTATAACTTTGTCGGGAGAAAAGAGTGGAGTTGAAGTTGCAAAAACCCGTATCACAAACGTTTTGGCTTCTCTAAAACATACCAAAACACTGCTTAATCAAGTGGCTTGGCACAGAGTGACTGATAGTGGTATAGAGACAATTGGCGAAGAAATCAGTTTTCAACTTGAAAGTGCAAGGATGAAGGTATGTTTGTAATAGGTGCTGTTATTCTTTTCGTTATGTTTTCTTTTCCTCTCACCGGTGTTAAATACTAACGGCATACGTATGTATGAGCGTATTGGCAAGCGGTGTGAGCCAGTATAGTTGTCGGAATGCGGAAATATTTCTATGTTGTCACCCACACTGTAACTGTGATGTTCAGCGTTATTCTAAATACGCGCAAACACGCGTGAAAAATATAAATGCTCGCTTAACTCGCCAAAAATTCGTTGCTCTCATGTAGTTTCTAAGGTTGATGGTACAAATATCACAATAAGTTTACCTTTTGTGGACCTCCAAAAAGTGAATATCAGTTTAGCAAATTATGGTTTAGTGGTTTTGAATGACTTAAAAGCGAGCTACACCTTGAGATATGAATCTTGGGTTGAGGAAGTCACTCTGACGTAGACTAGAGTCACTCCCTCCCTTGAGTCTAAGATGGACTCATCTGTCAGTACAGAGTTCACCACCCTTCTTCTTTCCTTTTTAACCTCCTCACTGGGAGAGTAGCCTGTTTAATGGGCAGAATATGCAAGGGAATTGTGGCTGTCACGAAGTGCAGTCAGAAACCAGATGATAGAACGCTGGAAGAGGAGATCGTATGTCCAGTGGATGTGCCTAGTATTGTGTCGACAAAGGCCGAAGGTTCGGAACAGAATAAAGATGTCCAGCAGGAGCATTGTTAGGATGCGAAATGGAGAGAGGGCAAGGCAGCAACATATGAAGTGAAACTGGGTGTTCGGGCTCAGCATTCATAGTTTTCAGGTTGGGTATCTGCTGACACTGGAAGTAGGGGTGAGAATAATTATGCTCCAAAATCAGGGAATTGTGCTCGAATATTTTCCTATTATGCTCCACAAAACAGCTCCATAAGTAGCCCGTATTATTCTTTTAAAAACACATGTAATTCTGACACAATATCAAGAAAGAACACCAACACAAGAACAGAAGAGGAAGTGTCACTACTACTAAGTCACGCTTGTTGTACTGAAGCATCAATGATGCCGCAGTATAGTCTTGGAGGGATCCATCTTGACG